TTATAAATCCTTCAGTACTTCTGATGTTTTTGATAGTCCTTGGTTTCATAACACAGAGATGTTTATTGGATTTGTCCAAACTTCTTTTCTCTGGTTTCTGTCACTGGCTTTACCTTTATAGAAAAATCAGAAGAAACCCAAACACTAGATGCTTTCAGCCAGTCTTTTTGTTTAAAAAAAAAGACGCTTATCTGATCCAAAAAGGAAACTCCCTGATAAGTAAGAAATATTAGCCGCTACACCGATCAGTGTTTATTGCTTCCACAGCAGCACAATGTCTGCACATGACTTTATTTATGCATTATAATTCATTACACTGTTTATGCTAGTTTCTACTTGCTCTGTTTCTCTAAATTTTATTTATTCTGTTGTGTATTCACGCTGGTAGAAGAATATGTGGATTCTAATTAAGGACCTGCTTTTAAATGAAATCTTATTTTTACTGAACATGGGGGATAATTTAGTGTTATGAAAATACAGTATGAAAAAAAAAATTTATAAGTGAGCACCTGTTAAATTACCCCAATCTTTTAAACTCATAAGAACAATGTTCATAATGTTCCCATTGTTGCCAAAGAAAAAAAAGGAAGGTTTCACTCCTCTTTTTGGTTTAAAATAACAGATTTACTGATGAAAAACATCCGTTTAAAACAGGAATAAAAAAGGCAATTAAAGCCTGAGAATCATGGATTTATTTTACAATTTTTGAATTATTAACTGCATTTGACAGCACCCAAATATATAGCTTAATCAGAATTTTTGGGGGGTTGGATCATTATTAATTTTACTAGTTATAGATGAATTAAAATGTTTTTCTCTTAGATTCATTCAATTTGTGCTCTCCTAATGTGTAATAGTGTTTATTCACACCCTGTGGCTTTTAGAAAAGTACACACCTTGAAAGATGGAAGATAAATCGTTTAATTAATGTTTGCACACCCTTAAACAAATGCTTTGTTCAAACAGCTTTGGATTCAGATCCAGCATTCAGTTTTCTTGATTAAATATCTGTAGTAATCTCACTTTATAAAGGTATCAGGATACCAAAAAAGGGCAATGGTATTTTATAAACATGAAAAGAACTGTCGATAATTAAGGTAAATAAAACATAAAAAAGCATTAACGTTAATAAAATGAAATATTTGGTTCTTAAAGTATTCCCCACTCACCCATACATGCAATCAAAACATCTGTTTCCTGTTGTCAGAACACAAATAGTCTATGTTAAATTGCTAAAAAGGATGTCCAGCTAATCTGCTACATCTGCCACCACACTGCATTCAGAAGTGCTTCTATAAAAGCAGACATGCAAAACAAAAACACGTAGGCCTTTTGTATTGATCATGCATTATAGATGAGTAAATCCATGCATAATCACAGGGACATCAGGTTCAACCAGTACTGGCTCATGCTCTGGAAAGGAAGAGGATCCTGCACTCAGAAATATTAAACATGTATTTATGATAATGTCTATTCAGAACACCAGATAAACTTAATAGGAAACAAAAAGATCCTGTTTACTTCTCACCTCCAGACTTTATTTTTCTTCATTTTCTTTCTCACCACATAGTCTGAATTTATCTCATAAGTAAAGCTTCTCACTAAACGGTTTTGTTGCATTTTTATCAGAATTTTGAAGACCTCTTTGTCGCTGTCTTGGCTAACAGCTGTGTTTGGCTGTCTTGTTGAGAAGATGAATAAATGAATGATTAGAGATGCCGCACAGCCATCACATGCAGATTAATAATTTTAGCTCATCTGAATTTCTACTCACAAGAGTAGCTCATAACAATAAATCCTTAGAAGATATGTGGCTTTCAAATCCGTTTAATATAGGTTTCTTTCTCACTATACTGAAAGTACATACATGGGAGGGGAAAAGTGTAGTTTGTCTACATTTACATTACATTTTTACCAAGACGTGCTTGAAAAAAAAAAATCTTTAAGCTTTTCCTTTTAATTAAAATATAGTTGTGGATTTACATACAGGAAATCCTTCCCTGTTGTCTCAACCAAAAAGGTATATTGCATGATTTAACTCCTTATTATGGCACCAATTTCACTTTAACAAAACATTCATATCCAATCACACTGTATGAATAAATGAATTAAAAAAAAGTTTTACTATTATCTTACATCTTTCTTATTAAAGCATTTGAAATTTATGTATGACACAAGCAGTGGATTTAACCTGCAATGATTATATTTGTATGTTTTAAACTTGCTCACTTTATTCAAACTTTTTTAGTACAATGTTTAAAAATGTTCCCAAGAAATAATAAGTATGGCTGCAACTAATGCTAATTTTGCAAGTCGTTTAATCCACAGATTATTTTTTCAATTAATCGAATAATAACCGGATAGCCAAAGGTTCCTTAAATCAGATTTTTTTTACGGAATTAAACCAGGTGAAACTAAAACGTTTCGACTTGAGGAGTTCTGGATTGACCATATTGACTGATGAAAATGTTTTTTTTTATGTTAAATGCAGAATGTTTATATATTTTTTCAGAATTTTAATATAATTACTGCTTTAAGTGGGTCGCTCTGTCAACTAAAGGCCTGTTTTAGAGTCTCTATACTCCAGGTAACGATTAATCAATTACTAAATTAGTATTATTTCAATATTGTTTATCACAATCTGATTAATTGTTTCAGCAATTATTGGCTTATATCTATTAAAGTCTGATGTCTAAGGATAACATTGAGCAAATCCTACTTATTTAAAAATGTTCTCACTCCCCAATTCATCCTGGTGAGTAATAAAAAAAAACAGTATAGCTACTAACCACCAGTAAGTGTCCCTTGTTTATTATGTTGGATGCTTTTTCCTTGTATGCAGAGTTTAAAAATTTACTTCACTGCGTTTAACTTTGGAGATATTTCTGATAAAGCGAAACATGCTTGAACAAATTAATAGTTTCACTCAAGTGCCTCAGTTTGAAAACCATATTCTCATTTAAATTTGATAGATTTATGCCAAAGTACAAACCCTCTAAATAAAGAAGTTTAAAAGCATATATTTTTCAGAATAACTTTTCTACCTGCAAATCCAATTATAATGAACCGGTATAATATTATCTGCTCTGGAGATTTTTCTTTTGTAGTCATGCCTACCTTATCTTGCTAAATTTGTTTCTGCCTTTTTATATCCATAATGGAAATTGCTCCTTTGGTTTCTACACCATGAAAGAGCAAATTACCAGTTCAATCTGATCTGTTTTTCCATTTTTATAAGATGTGTAATACGCTGATATTAGCTGGTTAATTAGTCAAACCATCTACTGCTTTTTCCAGTTTACATATTTACATTCACATTTATTTTCTGACATTGTTCAGAAGCTAAAAATAAAGACGATCTGTTATTGCAATGTATTAACACCACTAGATATTTTAGATTATATTACACATTCAAGATTAACAAGGTGAGATAAGATAAGGACACAATTGTTACATTAGGGTACATTTTGTAATACTCATCTGTGTTGTTATACACAGCTGACTATGTATGACAGCACAGGTCATAAATAGATTTTGGTTTTCAGATGCATGTTTTTCATATTAATTTCTCACTGTATAAATTTTGAAAACTCACAAAAAATGAAATAGAACAGGGAGGACAGCATCGTCCATCAAATACTTTTCTTCCTAGTTGCTTTTGCTTCTGTTTATTTTTCACTTACCTAAATTTTCCACATTCGGATGCTCTTTTTCCACTTTACCCATCAATTTTCATCTGCGTCCACATCTCTTCCCCCCTGTTCCTTGTAATTCTAACACATACTGTGTCCTTGCTTTCATCCTGCACGCTTGCCTGCACACATGCTGAGAGTTCATTACAGAAGCTGTGAGGCCATATCCACAAATCAAACTGTGTAAATAAGCAAGTTTTGCTCCTGCAGAGCACTCGTTACCGTTTCCATGCCTACCTGTTGCCAATCTCAAGGGTCTCTTAAGTGAGCGTCTGGATACGTATATAGTATATACATATACAGTTTGAATTTGTGCTGTTGCAGAAAGAGTAAATAGGCTTCTACAGTTTGACAAAGAGTAAATAATGTCTAAGTCCTGGTTTTGTGTTAATTAATATAAATTGTCTTCCTTTAAAATCAAGATTATATAACTGATAATCCCATCACACCAGTATGCTGTTATGGAAAAGCCCTTACAGAATACTTAACTCAAAAGACTTTGTAATTGATAACAACATATGATGTTTGTGTTGCTTTTGTGCTGATCCATATCAATTTTTCCAGTTTTTTTTTATTTCTTATTGAATTTGTTGTCATAGTTTTAGTCTGAATAATTCCTAACCTGTGCAGAGATAATGCTGATTGATTGTTTTGAGTTTTCTGTAAGATGGAAGACATGTCCCAGTGAGTCCCCTTTTACTGGTTCAATAAAAAGCTCCTGCAGCAAAATAAATAAATAGATAAAATCGGCATATGTGGCATTTATCTGAACAATGTACAGAATGTCCACCTGGCAGCCTGTGAGCCAGTGTAGAAACCGTCCATTAGTCCTTTGTTAATAGAGATGGGGACAGGTATGCATTTGTGTAAATCTGTGTGTGTGTGTAAACAGACTGACTAATGGGCCTGACTGAAATCCAAACACAGGAACTCGCAGGTGATCTGTGTTCTTTACTCCTAAAGGGAGAAGTGGGCTGGCTAATGAAGGCTACATAGTATATATGGACTCGGTGTGTCTGCATACTGAAAATACTCTGCTTTAAATAAAATAGGGAGCATTTTAGAAAAAGGCTTTCAACTTAAAAGGTTAAAAGGGAATCATCTACCATTCCTGCTTTATATCCTTTTTAATTTACTGCCATGAGTGGTTTCTGCTTTCCGTTCCCACCTCCCACTCTCCACCCCTATATGTCCTTCCCAATTACTTTTCTGTAGATGTTAGATGAATGTTGATATGACCTAAACACATAATGTGAAACTTATGATCTGTCTTTACATGTCTCCTAACCTCTGTATCTCTTCTTTCAGAGCGTCAGCTGGCCAACAGTATGACCAGCAGCAGCTCTCTTCCTCCCAATGTCAGCGGGATCAGTAAGGAGCTGGCAGAACTGCGGCACCTCATTCAGTTCCCAGAGGAGATTGCCTGCATCCTTACTGAACAGGAGCAACAGCTTTATCAGCAGGTAAAAATGTTAGTCTATTGGAGATCTTTTATGCTGCTTTATTTTCATTTTTTCTTATTCACTGAAAATTGAGATTGAACAAATAAGAAAGAGTAAGTTTTTAAAATTTATACCCTTTAGAATTCACTTTTAGTCTCAATAACACAACAAAGGCTTTGCATTTGTGCAAAATTGTTAAGTAGAAGGGAAATGATTAATGATTTAAGATGTTCTTTTTTTGAGAGAGAGATAGACAAATAGTTGCTAGTTCAATTTTCATATTTTCATTTGGATCTCTGGAATTTAATTTGTATATTCTTAGACTTATACGGATTTATTTTGTCATCTTGACGAAATTTCATCAAGAACAGCTCCCCAGACAGTTTTATTAGCCTTGAAAACAGTAAAAAAGATACATAAAAACAGTAATATAAACATATGACTGTATATTTACAGTTCTAACATTTCATTATTATATTTTTTATAATAAAATATAATAAATCAATTGTATATTCTGCTGTTATTAGATTAGGGATTTTTTTCAACAGTTGGGCCTCCACTCCTGTCTATAAAATAAACCGTAGATTAGTTTAGCAGTGCAGAGGTTCAGAATGACAGACATAAAAAAACAATTGAAATAATCAAACATAAATTAAACAAAAGAAAAACAGACGAAATGAATAAAAAAAAAACAAGTAGATATGAGAAAAAAAAAATACATTCAGGGCCAAAGCAAATTATATAGAAACTAATGAAGACATAACAATTCTAGAAATATACATATATGTAATGTTTTCCACTTTGTACCTGTGTTTAGCACCATGCCTATTACCATCAACTCTGACCGCATTAAATGTTCCTACTGAAGAAAAAATATTACAAACATCCAACACAATAGTTCATGTTGAGGATGATGTGCTTCCGCATTTTTGTGCGATGATAAACTTCCGGCTCTCATCCCATTTTTTCATGTAACTTAACACTTAAAGGTATTATGGAGAATGTTCTTTTTCCAGGTGGATTTATCAAAATAAGTGGTCCTCCTAATTGACAATCATTCCGGTGATATGTTTATGTGAGACCCTCCTACATGCTTGTCCCCATTTTCACTTACCAGTGGAAAAATTGCAAATCTTCTTTGGAAATTAAGCTTAAATGAGCGATGCAAACAGCAACTTTTAAACAGAGCATGCATAAGGAGAAATGGGCTCGTGCATGCTCTCACACGCGTTTAATAGACGTTCCCTCTAGGCAGAGGGTACAGGGTTGCGCAAATGCATTTTTTTAAAGCGGACAGAGCGGGTCTATTTAAGTATTAGTGAAAATCCTCCACTATACCTTTAACAACTTTAAACCAAACTGATGAGAGTAAAAGCCTAGAAAACACGACAGGATTTAGCATCCAATCTATGAGGTTGTGGCACTTGCATCTAGTTGAAAATGCATATTTTCTTTTAATGTTATTTCTATTATATTTTGTGTATTAATGCTAATTGAAATCCTTTACTTCTCTAATTGTAAGATCATCCTGTTCAGGGCTGCATTTTGTTGATGATGACTGCAGCTCTACCTTCTTTGTATTTAAGAAGAATGCAAATTTAATATTTTTTTGACTTTTCATCACTTGACCCAGTAAAATGGGGAATTTTGTTGCAATTTGTGGGACACTGGGAGAGAAGATTAAAAAAAAACATGCAGGATTTTCAGGTGACTAAACAAATGTGTTTAAGCTTGGACTATTCATTTTAAGCCTTTTTTTTTTTAGCTCTTTGGATCATTTCTTTTTTCATTTCTATTTCAGGGTTCTCTAAATGTAAATGCCTGACATGTCAGATTTATAATTGTAAACACTTTTAAACCATTTGTTATCTCCCTTACATTCCAAGCGCTACCTTGTGACAGTCGGTCACTTACAGCAAGAGCCTCAGAAATGAAAATAAAAGTTGAAATATGAGAAACAGAGTGTGTCTCTCTTTGCAGGTCTTTCCCTTAGACTACCTCTGTTTCCTCACTCGAGATCTTGGCAGTCCCGAGTGTCAAACGAGACGCCATCCAAACCTCAAGGCCTCGCTTTCGGTGCCTGCCATGCCCACTCAGACTGCTCAGCGAAGCAATGCTGTGGAGGACCTGGTGGCACGTTTCAATGAGGTGAGGCAATGACTTGAGAAAACCAGATCTCTAACAAGGAGTTCTTTATTTTGGCTGATTGCTCGCATTGATGTAGATTAACAGGAAGTATTTCCTTTATGAAGCACATATCTGAACTTTCCTTTTTGCGTGTTCTGTGTTTAGATTTTAATAGCTACATGAAGTCACTGAAACAACTTTAGCTGCGGCAGTGTTTATCTCTGGGGCTCAGGTTTTACAACATGATGTCAGCGTAGATTAGATTATCAAAAGTTCTTACTAAACTTTTTTTTCATCTTGTTGCATGGGTAAAATATTAATAACAAAGAAACGCCCAAATAGTTTGAATGCTTTGCACTGATCTCTTACTAAAAACACCCTAAGGATGATGTCAACATCCATCTCCCATTTGATATTGATGTAGAAGGTCTTCCATTCGGACCCTCCCTCATGTATAACCGTGCTAGTCCATCACTGTAAAACAGGATGTGTGCTTGTTAGTCCACTTATTTAGCTGGCTAGATTTCTACTCATGCTTTCTTTCTTTGGTGAAACCAACAGGGAGCTGTTACAACAATGCTGAGAAAGAGTGTTGGAAGTGTGGAGATTGATTGAGAAGGATGAAGTCATCTTTAGGTTGCATGCCTGCTCTATCAGCTGGTTTTCATTTAGGTCTGCAGGAAGGGAGACGCATAATAGTTCTCCAAATGTGCAGCGTCACCATATATGGGCAGAGTGGAAAGAGAGTCGAATGACAGCAGAGATTCTCCTTCAAGACAGTGATGAAGCCCAAACTAGAGCTTTGCTTCTGGACTTTTGGTTCAATTAAACAACAATACTTAATGGAAAATAAATAAGATATCTTCAACTGCAGTGTACGTAATACAAGCCTAAAAGTATCAGAGTTTTGTTGCTGAGTGTTATTATAACTTTTCTGCTGTTTATAGTCATTGATTGATTTGTCAGAGCAAAGTTCAGTTCACTTCTAATGAGTGAGAAACCAGGTGAATTTAAAAAGTTTATCGCTATCTTAAAAGAAAAACAAAATGAACAAAGAGAGGACATTTTATACTTTCTGCATCATCTTATTCTGGAGATGATGAAGATTCAAAGAAAGGATTTTAAAACGGTGGCCTCTGTGTGTACTCCTCCAAAAAATTTAACTGTTTTTCCAAACTGCTGCTCATATTTTGAAATCCACCATGTCCTTTGAAAGAGAGATGTTAGAACTTTAAAAGAATGCAATAGGGTACCTTTGGATTACCCAACAGAACCTTCCTGTTATCACCTAAAGAGCTTGCTCTCTTCCTTTTTCCTGCAGCCAGACTGCACACCCAAACATCTCAGCATGGAAAGGCATTTTTAAACAATTTCAATGAATTTCTTGTAGTTTATCCAGTTGAAAGCATTAAGAAGTTTTCGCTGAATGGAAAAGATCAGACTTTGCAGTTTCTACCGAAATAGTCATCAGTCAGAGCTAGTCAAGCTAATAATCGCAGTAGAGCGTAGTGGATCTGTAAATAACGTTTCACCTTGCTACTTAATTGCATAATTTTTAGATCTTTGTTAGTGATCTGAAACCTTTTATCTTTGTATTTTTGGGTTGATTACATGTTTTATATTGAATTGCAAAATACTACTTTTAATCCTAAATGAGTGTGCTGGTGAAGATTATCAGTCATGCAGGTCATAGTCATTCCAAAAAAGTAAAAAAAAAAAAACAATCCACTGAACTTGGTTTCCGACCTTAAAGACGTTTCACTTCCCATCCAGGAGGCTTTTTAATTCAAAATGTCAGAATTGATGTTCAGTTAGAAGCTTTATATAGAAGCCCAAAAACTTTTTTAAGCTTAGAAAACATGCAAATTTATGTAAAGCTTCGAACTCAATGCTAATTCTGACATTTTGAATTGAAAAAGTTTCCTGGATGAGAAGCCAAACTTATTCAAACTTGGAAACCAACTCCAGTGGATTGTTTTTTTTTTACTTTTTTGGAAATCCTAATCAAGAAAAATCTTTGAAAATGTAATCTAGTTAATCTTGGATTAGATGTTATTTTTCTCCAATCATAAAGTTCTAGCTAACCTGCAGTCTCTAGCTTTGTAATGATTGCGATCCAATTCATTCTCATGCCATGTATGGCAATGAATTTACTCTGCATGGGAAATCAGCAAAGCAGAGAATGGTGAGAATTTTGGGCCTCTTTGTGTGTCTGTATCGGCTGTTTAGCTTTGACAGGACCAGTATGTGCCGTGTTAAGTCTGCTATAGCTCTCTGTCAACCTCGGTTACATAAGTCGTGCATCAAGGAGAAAACGTCTCTCAAAAGTCCAGCTAAGAACAGATGGAGACATGAAGGCTCAAGGACAGACAGTGAGGTGGACACATCCAAACATCAAAGGATCAAATTGTACCCAACTCTAGTTTGGCAAGTGATGATGTATGTGTATGTGTGTGTATGACATGAAGCTAATTGAAAATAAAAAAAACAGGCTGTTATACACTTAGTGTTTTAGCATCCCTGATTTCATTATTTATTATCCTCTCATTTTCTGTTTTTCCTTTTGTCCTGTGCAACGCTTGCTATCTGGAACATCAAGAGTCGCCAAATCAATGTACCGCCTTGATCTCTGGCGGCTCAGAACACTACTTTGCAGATGGTCCGAATGCTTTAGATGGCGACTGTAATTCTAACCTCCCTGCTGACATGGAGTTAGACTGTGTCATGCTGCTGAAAGTGAAGGAGGATTTTCATGCATGGCATGCATTTCCTGACTCACACAGATCACAGAGTTGAAACAGATAAGAGCGTAGGGCAGCACTTTACCATAAGGCCATGTATAGAATAATATAGGCAGGCCTATGAGTCATTGGTATTTCACTGATTCAATCTTTGAAAACTGCAGTATAGTTTTTCTATACTCAAACAACCTGTTATTTCGCAAATCTATTAATCTGTTGATTCTTTTTTCAATTAATCAATTAATAATCGGATACCCAAATGTTTGTCAAATAGGATTTTTTACAGAATGAAATAGTGATGGCCCGTTAAAGCGCTGCGTTAACGCCAGACTCTTATGTGACGTAAAAAAACAATGTCACTGTTAATCTATTATCTCAGTTGGTTTGGGAGCTGGAACTATACCAATGATAACTTTCAAGTTGATAATTTAGCGCAGATGTATACCTGGTAGGGGTGGAACGATTCACAAAATCCACGGTTTGGTTCGATTCACGGTTTCGTGGTCACGGTTTTCGGTTCGGTTCGATTCGGTATGATTGTTACACCGAAATCCTATAAAAATTTATGAAATCAATGAAAAAATACTCCAAAGAATAATGGATTTTAATTATTTTAAATGATCCGCAGAAACCCTGGATCATTTCCGTATGTTTTGCTGCTATGATTTAATCATCTCGCGCATGCTCTCTACCATCTCCAAGGAACTCAGAGGGGAGCGGACGGGAGCCACAGTGGGGGCTGTAGGCTTTGCTTTGAGCAGCCGGTCTGGAGCGCAGCGGGGCGGAGCGGGGGTTGCTGACGGAGTATGAGGGATTTCGGGGTTAGCATGACATGTTGGTCATGTTGCTGTTAGCATAAACAAAACGTGTTGCACAATGATTGCACACTGTTGCACTTTTATCCACAACTTTCTTTCCGCCGTCATCGTAGGTCACTCTAAATGCAAAGCGGTCCCATACAGCAGACCTATAAAGTGCTGCTGGCACGTCTTCCAACTCCTGTTCTTTCCCACTCGCCATTCCGACACAATTCTCCACAACAACTGATTTTTTTTCCCTGCTACACCCGGCTACACTGCTTCGCTTCTTCTTCTTCTTGTTTACTACTGGTGGTTGGCTTTGGTCGCAGTACCGCCACCTTCTGCTCTGGAGTGTAAACGCTTCGCCTATGAGAAAAAGGAGCAGCGCATGAACCGAACGAAACACACGCAAACCGAACCGAGGCAGTCGAAACGAACGATTCTGACGGTTTTCATAAATCGTCCCATCCCTAATACCTGGGGGCAAAAAAGAATCAGTCTTCCAACCTGTGTAGGTGTACTGTGAAATTACCACATTGTAATAACCAGTTATTATTGCTGACATGGATGCAGCTATAAGCACAGCTCTATTAGCCAAGTTGACCAATCTCCTCACTCGGTGGATAGCCACAAGCTGCGCTCAAGCTCCTTCTTCAGGCGGCCGCAGGTGACCCATCTTACAGACTACCTGCGAGGCGAACAATCATGAGGAGAATAAATGAACAGCAAGGCACGGAAAAGCCGCGAAAGATGAGAAGTTGGTTGAGGCCACGTGTGTGCGTCAGACTCTTGGAGACGCTATATTGTTAAAGTAGGACATCCTTAATTGGAAGTGGAAAATTATTTTTTGCAGCAAAAATACAGTTACAAATGAGCCACATAAGTGTATATAACTTTGTCAAAATCTTAAGTAAGAAGAAGAAATTATGTGTGATTTTGCAAACAAAAAAGTAAGCCTTTTAGTTTCTGGTAGTAGCACACACATATCACGAACGCCTTTGGCAGAATTCAAATTAGTGATTTTAATCTAGATTAATCTAGATTAATTCTAAGATTACAGTGAGATTAATCTAGATTAAAAAAAAATATTCCATGCCCACCACTAGAATTAAACCAGGTAAAACTAAAACTTTTTCCACTTGCTCTGTATAAAGCTCTTTTTTTTAAATCTTTAAAAATACAAAATGCTTATATATTTTTTTTTTCAATTATGGTATAATTACTACTCTAAGTGGGTTGCTCTGTCAGCTAAAGTTATGTTTTAAAGTCTTTGTACTCCAGTAAATGAATAATAAATTATTTGATTATTTCAATAATCGAATAATCACGATTAATTGTTTCAGCCGTAGTGGAATATAAAAAAAATACTCTTTGTATAATGGTGTTTTATACCCGTAATGAGAAGAGTTCCTTATCTTTGGTTGATATTTTGACTCTCACAAATTAGAGACTAGTTATCTTTTTGCAACTGAACAAACTAATAAAATAACTAATAACTCAAGTAATTAGGAGGAAAGTCAAATGTATTTTGTATTTTTTGTCTTTAAGGACAAAACGTGTTAGAATAATGTATTTAAAGGAATAGTACACCCAAAACATGATTAGCCTTCATTTTCTACTCACCCCCATGCTGAACAAAACTCTGGAGTACTTTTTTGATATCTCAAATGCATCTGGAGATCTGGGAGGCTTCTTGCTGTCTGCTGACATTCAAATAATGGAGGTCTATGGCACCCGAGACAGAAAGGTCCATAAAAGTCCATAAAAACGTGTCAATATTCCTCCATACTGCTCGTCCAATGTATTCCAAGTGTCCTGAGTGGGTAGCATCCAGAATTTACTCGAAACGAAGTCATTTAGAATGTTTTTAGAGCATAAACAGTAGTGTATAGGATTTCCTAATAGCGCCCCCATGCGCGCTCACGATTCTACGGAAGCCGGCAGACCAAACCAGCGCATTCAGCTCGGCAAAGAACTCATGCTCTTCCTCAACACTGAAGTCCTCAGACATTTTTCTTTCGTTGTTTCTTTCTTTGCACAGGTAAACAGCACATTTCTTCTTCTACGCTTGCATTATCGGCAGAGCAGACGCTGAATGCGCACTTCCTTCCGGTTTGGTCTGCCGGCTTCCGTAGAATCGTAAGCGCGCATGGGGGCGCTATTAGGAAATCCTATACACTACTGTTTAGGCTCTAAAACGTTCTAAATGACTTCGTTTCGAGTAAATTCTGGATGCTACCCACTCAGGACACTTGGATTACATTGGACGAGCAGTATGGAGGAATATTGACACGTTTTTGTGGACTTTTGTGGACCTTTCTGTCTCGGGCGCCATAGACCTCCATTATTTGAATGTCAGCAGACAGCAAGAAGCCTCCCAGATCTCCAGATGCATTTGAGATATCAAAAAAGTACTCCAGAGTTTTGTTCAGCATGGGGGTGAGTAGAAAATGAAGGCTAATCATGTTTTGGGTGTACTATTCCTTTAAAGCTACTTTGCTTTTTTTGTAGACCCCCATGTCTGTGTGGGTGGGTAGGTTTGTGTTTTTAGTGGCTTTATTTAGTCCGTGTGAAGTTTTGCTGCGGTTAACTGTACACATCATTACATAAGCCAGTGATAGATCTCTGGGCCAGGGGATGTTTTTACCACCTGTAACACGGTAGAGGTTCACTGTGGGATTTTTAAGTGTGTGTGTGTTTGGCTGCATTAATGGGGCTCTAATGCTTGAGGACAAAGGCAAAAGGGAGCAGGAAGCTTTACTGCTGGGGTTTGTGTCCAATTCAAAGAATGTGACCCTGATCCATTTCTGGATTCGCCCATCATGTGTTTGTACATGCACAGCTGATGGTCATCCGATCTCCTCCATGTCTTATATTTGTGTGTGTTGCAGGGAAATGATCTAGACATTCACTGCAAGTTTGGTCTCAGATCTCCAGGCGAGAATTCATCCTCAACCTCAAGACCAGACACAATAAAAAATCAGTGTTCTTCTTAAGTCAAAGAAACAAAAGCGAGGCAGCTGCAAATATAAACCTCATTTTTAAATAAATTAACCAGGAAAATTTTTTCAATTGAAACCTGATCATGGGTTCTAAATGAGCAGCACTTAACATTAGTTTAAGATCCATTGTTTAATTGATTAAACTCTAAAGTAAATACAATATTTTTGATGACGAACACACAGCTTTTTTGCTTTTGACCAGACGTTTTTTACTGTTTAGTTTGACATCTACAGTACCTTGCACTTAGAGCTTTTTTTGTATTTTGTAAACATCTTAGTTAATTGAATTCGGATTGCATGGAAAAGGCTACCATAAATTAATGCTAATATTAAAAAGTAGAAGGAAAATGATGCATGTTTTAAATAGGGCTGGGTAAAAAAATCGATTTCAATCAATTTTGGGTCGATTCCTTTATATTTTTGCAAAATCGTTTTGTAGGGATTGAGATCGATTAGTTTTATAGTGACGTTCACATTCACATACATTGATAATAAGTGGCGCCTCACATCTCGTGCTACAGACCACCAAGATTACTTCAAGCCAGAGAGAGCTGCAAATATAGCCAATAGGTTGACTTAAGACATTAACAAATTGGAGCTGACCAGCAACCACCCTATAGTTGTTAAAGACAACACTGCAAATATGGTTTTTGCGGTGAAGATAATGCAGCTCATACATGTCTGCTGTGTCACTTCTGCTTGCTCGTGAGGCTTCACTTTTCGCAAACAAGTTTGCACTTTTGAGAGAGTTTTGTTCACATCTCAAGTTTAAAATGTCTGATTTACAAGTTTGTACTTGGTGTTTAATATGACAGGAAAAAATAAAATACATGAGTTTTTTGAAACACAGTAGAACCACTTTCATTATTGTAAAAACAGATTGAATCCATTTAGAACTGTATGAATCAAAATCGAATCGATTCAGGGCTTTGGCCAAAATACCCAGCCCTAGTTTTAAACATATTTTAGAGATAAATTCCACTGTATTTAGCTTCTTTTATTCTTCAAACAATAACATTTTAAAATTAAAAAAATTTAATTTTGTGCCCCTCAATATTTTATTTACAAATGTTAATCCAACTTGTGCTGCAATCATAGTTTTAAGGCTTTTGTGTTATTTTTTTCCTGCACAATGTTTTGCCTTTTTAAAAGGAAAATAATAGACCAATTCACAACAATGTTCAGCTCACTCAAGTTTTTAAGAAATGTTCTTAAAATATGTTTCTCTATTTACCTCCATTCATCTTCCCATCAACTTATCTGTTCTTTTATAAAGCACAATGCTGCCGCTACCGTGATTCATTGTGGATTCAGTGTTTAGGGTAATAAGCAGTGCTATTAAATCAATATTAAATTACTTAGGCCTCAGCATTCTGAAGGATATTGATTTTATTTTGTTATATCAGAAGGAAGGAGGGTAGACACAGACCCTATGTGTCTCCATCACTCTACTTCAGAATAATAAACAGTTGTTTTTATTTTTGCTCAATCACAAACAATATGAAAAGAAATTAGAAAAATTGTTAAAAAACATAAAGTTAACATAGGTATTAATATAATTTTAATCTGCCGTGTTTGTTCAGTTTTAACATTTCAAAATGTGAACCTGCAGGTGAGTTCATGGGTGACGTGGTTAGTCCTGACAGCTGGGTCCATGGAGGAGAAAAGAGAAGTTTTTTCCTACCTTGTCCATGTCGCCAAATGCTGTTGGAATATGGGAAACTACAACGGTGTCATGGAGTTCCTGGCTGGACTAAGGTTGAGTGAAACGAACAAGCTTATCTGATGTTGTCCCAAACTGTTTTATTCCTTTAAAATGTTTGTTTTGCTAGCTTTAATTTGAAATGACCTCTCCCAGATCCCGTAAAGTGTTGAAGATGTGGCAGTTTATGGACCAGTCAGACATCGAGACCATGAGAAGTCTGAAGGACGCCATGGCTCAACATGAATCTTCTTCAGAGTACAAGAAGATCGTAACTCGAGCACTCAACATCCCAGGCTGCAAGGTGAGCTTTATTTTGTTCAGATGAGGTTTCTGTTTGGGGGGGATTAGTTGCAAATATACCTAGAATAAATTTGTAAACTCTCACTTTTCATTTTTCATAGGTGGTACCATTCTGTGGGGTTTTTCTAAAAGAGCTAAGTGATGCATTAGACAGCACAGCCAGCATCATCAGTCTGAAGCAATCTCCAGATAACACAGATGACTCAATAGAGGTAAAACAGATATCATGTATACAAAAAAAATTGAAACAAATATCCAATGGAAGGAGACGATGCACCTTATGCCCTGTTTAATTTTCTTCTCCAGTTTGTGTCTGACTTCAGCGGGCAGCAAAATTTTCTGTCCCGCTCCGGACCGGATGGGCTGCACATCCCAGAGAAAGAGGCAACTGTCAGCAACATCCTGCAGATTATTAGGTGAGTCCCATCTGTTTAATCCTGCTTCCAAAGAGGAAAAAAAGATTGTTTGTAACTTTTTCTGTTTCCTCTCCTCAGATCATGCAATCGTAGTCTGGAGTCAGAAGAATCCGATGAAACGTCGACAAGTCCATCCTCAACTGGTCCAGCCCCCGCACTCAGATGCAACTCTTTACGGGACCGCTGCCGCAATCAGTCAGTCCCCCCTTCCTTTCCTTATATTTTAGTTAGCTCTCTGTTTCACGAAGGTTTTTTCCTTATCTTTGCAGTTTCTGATGCCTGATGTAATAAATTGTAAGCATTTCGTAAATAGATTCATGTGAATATTAACAGTTTTCTGCAAAGGTGTCTTTGTAAAAAAGACACGGTGTACAGACCGGTCTCAATTTGTTTGACTACTTTAAAAGAAAAACTATTTTTAATACTTGTCTTATTATACTTATTCATTACACAAAGAGTGATTTGCACTTTTTTTATATAGTTTTCTTTTTCAACTGGGCTTTCCATCTAGATTCTTGGACACAACATTTTAGCAGGCGGTATTTTGGGAAATAACTTTTCTGCCTTTTGCCTTTAGAGCGTCAGTGATTCCAGGGCAAATCCAGTGATTATTGTATGTGGATCATTACTAAAAACCTAGTTTTGGTTTTTTGGTTGTTTCCATAAAAATCTTTAACACAAAAACAACATTTATAGAAATATATATATAAAAAAAACTAGAAATCTGTGTAATAATTTTTTTATTATATGAGTTTAATAACTTTTAATTAGTTTTTTAATCATTTCTGCTACTTTTATTGGAGGCTGGTAAATATTTGCTCTTTGTGCTTTTGTTTAAATAAAGCTCATACTTTGGTATTGAACACATTTTAATTAAGTGAAAGCATGATTTCAACATTCCTAGTGAGTCTTTAAAAGTTAAGTATTAAATTTGAATTTAAAGCCTTTAATTTTTGTTACTTTGCTAAATTATTTGGCCTTTTGTTTATTCTCTGAGACTGAATTGAACTAAATGTTCAACACACTCACTGATTTTGTTCTTTTTGTTTTTTCAATATGAACAGCGGTGCAGGATAATGGGTTTGTGAAGGAAGACATTTGCAGATTGTTATTGAGATGAAACCAAGCTCACATGAAACCCTGTGTCACAAAGAAAAAAAGATAACATGCTTGCTTCCTGTCAGGACAGGAAGGAACAGAGCTCTGGTACTTATCAGGCCACCGAAGGCAGGTAGCTTATAATGAGAGCTGGAATTCAGAGCAAAAAAAAAAACAGATTCAGACAGTTTTGACATAATATATTAATATAAATTTAAGATTTTTCTCTCTCTTAATTTTTACAGCGCAGGATAGAAACTGCTTCTTTTCGATACGCCTTATGGTTTTCATCTGTTTGGACTTTAGTGTCACAGCGGTTTATTGCCTCTTTTCCTGTGGTCTGGTTCTCTTTCACTCTTTTACATAAAGCAACTGCCAGAACATTTTTGTCTCCCAGTTTTTTTTTTTTTCTAACTCTTCCTTCCCCCGTCCTGTATTATAGTTACCAATCATTTAGAACAACACCAGAGGCAGAATCTATGAATTGTCATCTATTGTTATGCTGTTATTAAACAACTAGCTGCAGGAGTTTAAACAGTGTGTTCAAATTTATGCAATTTACACAGTTCTTTTATTCACCTTTGTTCTAGCTAGTAGCTAATTAGATTTTTATTTATTTTAACAGGAAGGTTGCAAAAGAGAGAGGACTTTCATGTGAGGAGAACCAGGATCGGGGATAATGATCACACAAATCAAACTTTATTTATAGAGCCAAATGTGAAGAAAGGGGTTAGCTTTAAAGGGGTCATAGAATGATTCTATAGGGTATTTGATGCTGGTCCTTAAGGTCTCTGAATAGGGTGTGTTACATTGGTTGGGCTGAAAATGGCCTAATTGCTCTTCTATGAGCCCTGATGCAAGCCTGGTTAAAAGCCCTAGAATGAGACAACAGGTTTTCTTCCTTTTATGGTATGCTCATTAATATTTAGATGAGCTGTGCTCTGATTGGTTGGTTTGCAACAAGCAAAGCTGCTGAGCAAAGACGCATCATAGCAATAAGCTCTCACTCACTGAAATATCGAAATTGTTTATATGGTAGGGTGACCAACCGTCCTCTTTTTCCTGGATATCTACTACTTTTCATACTTAAAAAAATGTCAGGGGGGAATTTCAAAATCATCCGGGATTTTGGTCGACTACAGTGCAGCACGCTGTCGAAACACACCGGGCATTCGAACCGAGCAGTCAGCTCCGGGGCTGGTCTGGAAACCCCAGCGGACGGGGGCAGGAAGTTAACAGGGGACCGAGGGACCTAATCCGACCCGGTGAAGTTAGCCTGGACACAGTCGGTCCTGTGCTCGCCCCCCGCCTGCCTTACAGGCCCCCCTCCTCCGACTGAGGACGGGCAGATCATGGCTCTCTGCTGAGGTCCAGTCCAGATAGTAGCCCAGCAGTTGACACTTTATACCCCCGCTTTGAATTACTTCAATGAGTTTAGAATGATTGATAAATACAAAAGAATAGAAAATCTATTTATTGTCCCACAATGAGAAAATTGTGGCATTACAGCAGCAAAAGATTTTAGCAAAAATAGTCACACAAATGTAGACCTTAAAGTGTATGAAAATATTGTAAAAATACTGTTTTGTACAGGGTTTTTACAATATGAATATTGTGCATCTGTGGACATTTTTACAGTAATGGATATGTAAAAATGTAGCAGCAACACCAGAGATGTGCAAAGATGACAGCAGTTTACAGCTGCTGGGGGGAAGGATCTGTGATAACGCTTCCTGGTGCATTTAAGGTGCAGCAGTCTGTCACTGAAGGACCTTTCCAGTTCAGCAAAAGCTTCATGCATGTGGTGTGAGACATTTTCCAACAGAGATGTTAATTTAGTTAGAGTCCTTCTGTTTCCCACTTCCTGCACTGATAAGATAAGATAAAAGATGAGATCATCACAGTAATCAAAAATCCTAATTGTGTTTATCTACAGATTCACAGTTGGAGACTTGTCAGACTCGGATGGTGACTTGTCCACTGAACCAGTGATGAAGGAGGTGGAGTTTCAGGGTACTGAAGAGACGCACAAAGCTTTCAGTCACGGCACGGAGCTCATTCCCTGGTTAGAAATAATCCTAGCATATAGTCTGTATTGCACATCAGCAGACCATAAATCTTTTTTTTTAATTTTTGTGTGTCTTTCTCTTTCTAGGTATGTACTGTCATTGCAACCAGATGTTCACCAGTTCCTGCTGCAGGGTGCTACAGTCATTCATTATGACCAGGACAGCCATCTCACAGCTCGCTGTCTGCTGCGACTACAGCCTGATAACACCACACTCATCTGGGGTAGATATCTTCAAGCTTTTCTAATGAAGCAGTGATATTTTAGATGTTGGACCCTCCACTGTTAAGGTTAACTCAGGGTGATATTGTTGCTCTGAGTGTACAATGAGTCACGTATCAAATCTCCACTTCATCTGTCTTTATCGCTCTTCAAACTAATTTCATATGGAGCTTTCTACTGTAAAAAATGTAATTTCCTGTGCCATTATGTTGTAAACGGTGTCTGTATTTGTTCAGTTATATTTTGTTTGCCAAGTGTCTTTCTTTTACAGCATAGACCATTTAACTCGGTTGTAAATGTTTGCATCTGTGCCGAGAATCCCTACATTTCTGTCTTCGACTGAATTTCCAACGTTTTGTAAATATTTGGCAGGTAAACCCCAAAGTGGAGGAGCCTCCCCCACAGAACAGCCGCCCGGGTTAGGGCAGAGTGTGATGTCCGGGTTAGCAGAAGGCCTCTTGGACCTCACAGTGGTGAAGGTTTGTTAATAAAACTCTCTTGGGAGCTTGTTTTGTGTTTGGATTACACTCATCGTATTTATGTGAATCTGCAGGCAGTGTTTCTGGGCCATCAGGGGGTTGACGTTCACGCTGTGTGTTTGCAAAACAAGCTGAGCCATATGACCGTGGAGGAGAACGCTCTGACTCTGCTCTATGGTCTCAGTACCACTGACAACAGGTTTGTCTCTGTTTGCTACCGGAATCCTGCAACACTGCTTTGTATTTAAAATGTAAACCAATTTGCTACCTTGTGCTGTCAGACTACTGCACTTTGTTGCACCGAAACATACCGCACAGACGCTCCATAAGGGCCTCTCAGAGCTGGTGGATGCAACCAGGAAACTGAAGAAGTTTCCCGACCAGAGATTGCAGTGGTTGAGGAGGCAGTACGTTAGCTTGTATCAGGTACATTTTCTACTACAATATTATGAATAATTTTGATCGACATGTACTAGTAATTATATTATCTGTTTCAATGATAAATAAGTATCCTTCTAAAGGAAACATCAATGTTCTTGATGATGCAACTTTTTAATACTGCTCCCTTTAATTAGAGACCCCTAAAAACAATCAGTGTCAGCTTAGGAAAGAATTAAAGTTAAGATATTTAAGCAGGGTTACAATATCAAAAACATTTGCAAACCTTCCAAATAAAAACTTTAAACCTACAAACTAGGCAAGGAGAATATTAATGATAGAAGCCCCCATGAGGTATTTTGTAACTCTGGAGGAGCTGTAGAGATTCCCAGGGTTTCTGGGCTTAATGGAGGAGTAGTATGGAGAAAGCTGATTTTGTAAGATGACCATGGAAAGCTGCAAAACATAGGAAAGGATGTGCTCTATTTAAATTAAACCAGAAGAAAGCTTATCTGACCATATGCATTTGACAACGTGTGGAAAACCACTCAACAATATGTGCAACACCTGGGTTGTTTAAATCTGGGTCAGGGAAGTCAATCAAAAAGAAAGAAAAAATGGATGGAGCTACAGGGTAATCCTTGAAACCTTCCTACTAGAGCTATGGCCCTGATCAGACAACCGCAAATGTAATTGCATACAAGAGGCTTTGTATAGAAAGGCCAGAGTTCAATCTGATGATAGATATATATATATATATATATATATATATATATATATATATATATATATATATATATATATATATATATATATATATATATATATATATATATATATATATATACGGTATATACACATGAATACTCAAAATCTTTAATTCTCTAGGCCAGACATAGTTTTAGAAAAAAATTTTGTTTATAAAGTATTGATTGCTTAAAGCTACAGTGTGTAATAATTACAGGCATATAAAGTCAGAAATTTAACATATTATACATAACTATGTTATTTATCATCACCTATGAGCTCAGCCTTTTAACCATAATATTTGCGTTGCCTTAGAATTCGTTATTTATAATTACATAGGAGCGGGTCTCGCAGCCATGGAGGCTGACATCTTTGCGCTACGGCAGCGCAGAGGCAACAAACTAGCGATTGCGAGATCTCCCATGACGCTCGAAAATAACTACGGCAAGTTGAGAGAGATGAACTGAGACGGTACTGAACAGTAGATGGCAGTATTATGCCTGAGAAGCGTTTAGTCTGCCTGAAACCAAAGAAGAAGAAGAAGCAGGTATACTGCGCCTCAGTAACAAGAAAGGTGAACAAGGCGGCAGGCGTGAGTGACTTTGCAAACTGTTTGGCACTGTGTGGCCAAACATCAGACGAATGGAGGATCATGCCTACTCTGTATCACAACGAAAAGCGGCGGACACCGAACCCCCGTCATCTAAGAAGCGGAAACACGACGAGAATAAACGCAAGCGTGACAAGAAATGACAAAAAACACGGATCAACATTGGCACGGCATTTACACGATGGAAGTCACTGATGGAGGAAAAAGGTTTTCAAAGTGACGCTCAAGTTGCCAGTTTTCTCTTGGACAGGTAATTAATCCTACACACACAATTGTCTAATATCACTGCAGTTTTTGGAGTACAGGATGCTCAGACCTGTCTAAAACAATAACATGCTGCGTGATGATGCTGTTACTCTCCAGTATACTTATTCAGCAACGTCCCTGACGTTTCATAGGTAATGATTCAGTAATTTTCTGTAAAATAATTTTCTGGATATATACCTCGGTTACTTCTCTCCGGCTCCTTTGGAGATCTTCAAGCCTTTCCTCCTCTGCTCTCACCCCGCTGGCACCCCTCCCTCGCCTGGCCCTAGCTGCACGGCCTCGCCCTCGTCCTCTCCCTCTTCCTCGCCTTGTAACCCCCGTGCCACCAAAATGACTTGGACTCTGTAAACGGGGAATATATATTCTTTCAGCGAACACAATCTCGCTGTTAAACTAATGACTACAATTACTTCGTCTGTTTATATCACCATGCAAAGCAGCTCACCAAAACGTCACAACGATGTAGAAAAAATAACGGGTATATTTATTATCTTAAGTCTACATGAAATCTATACCCTACACAGACTAATGAAATACTATCTGTAAAATTATCTATGTAAACAAACCTCATCACTTGAGAAGGTAGGTGATGTGGACGTCGTGGAAGACATTTTGTCCCGTAACGCTCGCCATACTGTTGGGGGGCAGAAGCGGTGGGGGGGAGATGTTCATGTTGCTGCAGTCTGCAGTCTGGACGTTAGATGTCGCTGAAAATTACACACTGTAGCTTTAATAGGAAAGAACAACAAATATTTTAACTATTTAGTAAATAAAAGGCTGTTAAACTCTGCATCATTGTCTGCACTATTTGTCACTATTTTGGACCACTTTGTTCATCAGTCACATAAATTACCAATAAAAAGATTAACGTTTGGCAAAATTAGTGTTGTATCCTTTTCATTTGTGTTAGCTCTGTTTTATACAAACTCAGTATCACATGTTGCTGCGTGTTAGACATATTTCATATGATAGAGTATCAAAAATTTTAAATTCATGTTTTATTAAATGGTTGATGTTAATGCTACTTCAACATATAATTTTGTTGCTTTTTTTTTCTTACTGCATATTTAGGAGGAAGGCAGGTATGAAGGCCCCACATTAGCTCAGGCCATTGAGCTGTTTGGTGGGAGGAGGTGGAACATGGGCACAGGTGCTGTAGAGAAACAGAGTAATCAGAAAAACAGTCCCCTGGGCATCAGTGAGAAATCCAAGAGGAAAAAGAAGGTTCTTGTAAGGGTCAGTACATACATTTTTATATTTATTACCTTTTTCCTGTGTTTCTTTGACAATACAGCTACAGTAGTGCTTATATTCCAACTGTGACTTTATGTTCAGATGGCTAAGAACACATTGCTTTGTTGGCTTTTTAATAACATTCAATGTGGCTTATAGATATCTGCAATGGCACATAAATGTAAATTCTGAATTTCTCCTTATATTTCAGGGAGACAGTGGGGATGCCACTGATGATGAAATGGTATCCAGGAAGACTCGAAGTTGTAAGGAGGGTTTATATCGAAATGGTCCTGAGTCCGACAGCATCGACCAAGAAGATCCAGGTAAGACTTTTTAAACCTCTTTGGACTCAGAGAAACTGAAGCTCAAAGCAGATCAAATTCTAAATTAGGGTTCAATCAAAATAAAAGTAAAAAACGAAAAGGTAAGGAAGAATGTGTTGAAGATTTGGTTATCACCTTTACAGACGACAACTTCCCTGGACCTTTTTCCCTGTCATCCAACAAGAGCTCTGGGTTGCTAGCCTCTTCGTCCTCATCGTCCTCTTCCTCCAGCATGGCTGGGTCCAACCATTCCCGTCCACAATCATCTCCAATCATGTCAGGGACTTCTAAGTCACAAGCAGGGTAAAAAAAAAAACACCACAATAACAAACAAACACAAAAAAAGCAAAGATCGCCCTGGTCTGTAACCCATTTTCTTTTGTTGTCAATCTTTCCTTCTTCTTCCAGAGCCTGGAGCAGCAGATCATGGCACGGTCGAGGTAAAGGCTGCTTCAGGGGCTTCCAGAATCTCATGATTTCTGACAGCACCATGAACTTCATCGAATTCGTTGAGCTCTTCAAGTCATTCAGGTATCTGTGACAAGGACTGCGGTTTCCTTTATTCTTAAATATGGAGTTTTAACTCCATAGATTTAACTGTTCCATAATGGTTTAAAGTATAACCAGCATTCAGCTGTGTTTTGTTCTACTACTGAATTTATACCCTGAGTTTAACTCTGCTAACAGGAGTATCTAACTCCCTCCTGTTATGTAATGGTTGTATTCTTATCAAATGTTCATAAAGGCAGCGTGCTACAGTAAATGCCCCTCATAGTTATCATGTTCAGGGAATTTTTAAAGGATTCTGGTCTCTGATTTATTTGGTTTGTCTAAATTTTTCTCTATCCAGTGAATAGGAACAAAATCTGTGCACTGATAAGCATTTCTTGTAACAGTCCTCCTACATTTCAAGGATTGTGAAGTATTTTCTCATTTTCTGCCTTGCCTTTTAGATTGTGCTTTCTGTCACGACAAAAAAAAAAAAAAAAAGCAGCTTTTCTATTTTCATGGCTCAGGGTAAAAAATAAAACAAAAATAAAATAGATGGGATCAGAAAACTTTCTGAATTTATTCGCTTTTAAAGTCTGAGGCTTTCTTGGTGGGTCCGCTGTTCCACAGTACATTATATTAATATCTGTCATTCTTGAACTTTCTCACATTGGTCTTTGTTGCATTTTGTAAAAGACCAGTACATAGTAATACACCTTTATAAAATGGAAAAATTAATTCCTCTTAAAATAAAAAAAGGAAAAAAGCTTTTAGCTCCACTCAAAACTCCAGTCAAAACTTTGCAGAATTGCATTTTGTTTTTGTTTTCCTGCTGAATTGTGAACCTTGACAAAAATCTCAGCCTGTAGAAGATTTTGCTATGTATTTACTGCCATTTTCCAATCATCTTTATTTGGTGTCCTTATGTCTCTTTGATCCTCCAAGAAAATCTATTAAAAAATAGTTTTTCTTGTAGGCCAGAAAGTTCAGCTTTGGTCTCCTTCACATTGGTTATATCAGCTGCATAGCATGAATCAATACTTGTCTCATTACATCCATACTTCAAACACAGCTTTCTTTTTCTACTTATGCATCAAGTTTAGACTTTTGCATTTGTCACCGTTGCAAATGATACCAGCTAAACTGCGGACATCTGCAGCTCTTCCATAATTAATGTGGGCCTATCTGCCAATTCACTGATTTATATTCTCCTTCCCTGGCCTTAGTTTATGTCACAACCAAATATTTGTAGGTTTTTAGCTCTGTAAGACATTCCATCTCTGGTGGTGGATTGAGTAGAATTCTGTGGGATGTTGGCATTTTGTTTAATAACCTACAGTGTGAGGAGTTTAAAAATTCAACTGTTTCCATGATGGTTCTTTGGCAGTTTATTTGCTGGTAAAGCCCCTTTCACACCTTGACGATTTAGCCAGTGTATTCCTGATGAATGGAAAATCTGGCAAAAACGCTGGCGTACGTTGGATAAATTATGGGTCAGTTTTGTATAAGTTATGAGCATGCCGAACCACACTGGCACATGTCGGCATATGGCAAGAACGTCGAGAAATTTTGAGCATGCACAAAATTTCTTGACGTATGCCCGCGTATGCTCATACTTGGGCCATAAGTTGTAGGAAAGTTTTTTTATCTTTGACATATGTTTATTGTAAGGTGCTCATAAGTTGTGGTGTCTAGCTTATCCACCAACTTGTGCATAACCTATGCGTAACTTATCAAGAACTTACCTCCAACACAAAGCAACTTATTTGACATGTTCCAGACGACCACTGAGCGTTTTTCTAACTTATAGCTACTGTTTAATGGCCCTTTCAGTAAAAAAGGAATGAACACCTCTCTACTTTGGATTAGACATGTTCTCTTCTTGTCATTTAAATTTGCTTTGTTATCTTAATGGAAACTTCAGCTGATTTCACAGTTTAAATGAAGAGTTGGACTAAATTCCCTGATTTGTTCCTCAACAGCATCCGTAGCAGAAAGGACCTAAAAGAACTGTTTGACACCTTCGCTGTCCCCTGCAGTCGCTCGTCTCCGGAATCCTCCCCTCTTTACACCAACCTCAGGATAGATGATAAAGACACGGGGATTCAGCCTGACCTGGGTAAAAAAAAAAAAAAAAAGGAAAAAAAGTCAATCAACCTCCTCCTGCTGTTGTTTCTCATCACTTTGTCTACTCTTCAGACTTATTAACCAGGAATGGATCTGATCTTGGCCTGTTTATCCGGACGAGGCAGCTAATGTCAGACAACCAGAAGCAGATATCCGATGCAATTGCGGCAGCCAGCATTGTGACGAATGGTACAGGGGTGGAGAATGCATCATTAGGTGTTTTAGGATTGGCCATACCGCAGCTCAATGACTTTTTGGTGAACTGTCAAAGACAGCACCTGAGCTATGACGAGATCCTCAGCATTATACAGGTAAAGGTCTGGAGAAAACTGGACAGTAGCAACTTTTAGAATATAGATTAAACCTAACCTACTAGAAAGATTTAACAATATACTGTATATCAACAATTGTTTTTTTCTTGCAGAGGTTTGAGCCCTCATTAACCATGAGACAGATGGGTTGGATGTCATTTGAAGGCTTTGCAAGGTATTGCAAATTTACTAGGCTTCAACCTGATAAAAAATATAGTCCATACATTATCCTAAAATTGGCAGCATTTAGGTGTACCCTTTCCCCTTTTCTGCATTTCTTTAAAACTAAAGGTGCCAACATCAATTTATTTTATTTGAATTTTATATTAAAGACCAAAAAAAAGGTGAATCACAATCCCCATGATGAAACATGGTGGTTACAGCTATTCTAATTGCTCCTCACAGCTGCTGTTTGTACGATTTGATTGGGTTTAATCTCTTTGCAGAGGAAACCCAGCTGCACAGACATGTAACCCTCTCCTCCACTTCATACTTATGCTATTTGTTTTTATAATATTTTCATAAAATACATTTAGATCGGAGGTCTTCAACAGGGGGTCCGCGACCCCTAGGGGGTCCACAGAGGTACTGCATGGGAATCGCAAAAGTTTTGGTTGATTAGAATTTTTTTTTTATATTCCCCCCCTGCATTTTTTTTCACTAATTGAAATATCTTTAAATACACATTAACATGACTTCAACACACTGCAGTAAACAGATAAATGGAGGCAGATGTCTTTTAGTCATTAATGATCCGAATCATTAATGACATTAAATTATTTCATCTTTAATAGTGTGACTATAGGGCCAAATTGATATAACACAATTTCATACAATATATATAGATAATTAGGGGGTCCCTGCTCCATACAAAACTTAATGTTTTCTCTCTGCGAACCAGGTTCCTTATGGACAAAGACAACTTTGCTTCTCGTAATGAGGAGTCTCAGATGAATCCAGACGAGCTGCATCACCCGCTGTCATATTACTACATTGAATCTTCTCACAACACCTACCTGACTGGTCATCAGCTCAAAGGGGAGTCCTCTGTTGAGCTTTATAGCCATGTAAGACGTGCATTCAAGTTGTAAAATTTTAAACCAGAATATCAAGATTTTGATATTATATTTTACAGGTGAATCCATTTTTATGAATGTTCTGATATTTAGGTTCTGCTTCAAGGCTGCAGGAGTGTGGAATTAGATTGCTGGGATGGAGATGATGGCATGCCAGTCATATACCATGGACACACGCTTACAACTAAAATTCCCTTTAAGGTTTGAAAGATTTATGATTATTTGACCCATAGAAGGTGATTTCCTTCAGCTTTCTGGAACTTAAAGGCCTGATTTTAGATCAGATCAACATTTTTTAGTAATGTGCTGAGTTCCTGTTTATAAAACTTCATAAAACACTATTTAGGTTGACTAACAGGTAACCAATGAGCATACGTTATTGTTGATCCAATAACAAAAAAAGAACAGTTTTTTTATGTGAAGGACTGTTTGTAAGAATTTCTCCTTTTCTCTTAACCCTTCAGGATGTGGTGGAAGCAGTAAATCGATCTGCATTTATCAACTCTGACATGCCGGTCATATTGTCCATAGAGAACCACTGCTCGCTTCTGCAGCAGCGCAAGATGGCTGAAATATTCAAGGTATGAAGAACTGCAACAGTATTTCTGACACATCAACACATCAACATTTTATTTTGATTCATGGGTATTTATGATAAGTTACAATACAACACATCATTTTCAATAAACTATATCCATCTTGGTCAATTCCTTTTTAATGCAAGGACTGGAATAATTAAACAGTAAACAATTGTGAGAAATGAAATGAAATGTAATAAAAAAATAAATAAAAAATGTTTGATACAATCACTTAGCTCCTTAAAAAAAGTTATATATTATGACTATGTCCCCTAAGTGTGTTTAATTACCTCTTATACTGCCTTAAAAAAAAAAACATGATGCAACACTGAATCCTGCAAATTTATGCCAATAATTAGTGTATCCAATTTTCTGATAAACATTGTCAGTTATAACCCTTAAAATATCAATCCAGAAGAGTTAGGTAAAGTTTATTTTTCTCATATTTTTCCCTCAATTTTGTTAGTCAGATTTTACATATTTTTATCACCAACAAAAAAACTTTTTGGGCAACAAACTCCCAATCACAATCCTAATTGCTCTAATTCTCAAACGGATCTCCATTACTTCCTTTTTTACATAATTGCTTTTTTATGTTAGATTTTTCACTGTAGTTGATGCACGCACCAAGAGGGACTACAAAAACATGAAAACATCTTCATGCTTTCATCTAAAAAAGCTTCACATCATTTCCTCCTCCTTGGGGACCCACTTCTGGCCATCTTGATATACTGAACTCTTTCAAGTTCAAACAGCTCTTTGCCCCTCAGCAGCTTACATCACCATGGTCTTGTTTGTTTTATTTGCAGGGTTCAGTTTCATTTTCTACTTCAGCTTCAGACCCCTTTTTTCCCCACTTCCATCTCTTCCACATGACAAATCCTCTCGTATAAAAACATCATGCTGATGTCATCTGTCATATCTGAATGTCTTTTTCCATTAGAGCGTGTTTGGGGAACGTCTTGTGACTCGTTTCCTGTTTGAGGGCGACTTCAGCGATGACCCTCACCTGCCATCCCCCCTGCAGCTGCGTGGGAAGATTCTCCTTAAGAACAAGAAGCTCAAAGCCCATCAGGCGCCGGTGGACATCCTCAAACAGAAGGTTGGCATAAAACAGCTCCCACCTACATGTTTGCATAATTTATATTTCCTAAAAGTGATTCCGTCAAGAAACCTCCGGATCGCTTTAGTTTATTATATATTCAGCAGCGCTGATCATTTAAAGTGCTGTGGGACATAAATAATAGATGCAAATGTGCTGAAATGTATGCACTATTTCTATTCAGCAATAACAGCCATTTAGCCTTTGCAATCTCTACGGATAACAACCATAAAATTTAAAATAATCAGAGAGGTATAGATGATTCTTCTCAGATCATTATCCTTGTACTTTTTTTATAGGCTCACCAGCTGGCACACATGCAAGCCCAGGCAAGCAATGGATCCCCGGGAGTTTCTTCCCCCAGCAACCACACTAATGAGGAAGAGGAAGAAGATGAGGATGAATATGACTATGATTATGAGTCTCTATCAGATGGTAAGGGTAACTATTACACTAACTTTAAAGCTGTAATCAATTAAAGAGGCCCGATGGGATTTCAGTTCACTCAAACCTTAATACCCTACTTAACATGTTGGTGTTGTCCCCTTTGATTCAGCCTCTGTTTACTTCTTTATTCTCTTCTTCCTCTTTTTAACAGCTGAGTGTGTTTTGCTGACGCCGTATATGTTTTCGTTTCATTTTCCCCTTTTCTTGCTGTTTTTCCTCTTAGCTGATGTCCTCACAGCCTCTACTGCCTCATATGGCCTTGAAGGTAAATGCCCTGATGCACCTCTTTAGGCTGTAGGGTTTCTTCTGTAATTGTTGTGCAGTGGGAGATAGCTCTAGGTCAAAAAGCTTGTTTCCTTCTTCAAAAGATTCTATAATCTGTTGTAAATTACAGAGAATTGCTGAAAGAGTTGTACTGTATTCCTTAAACATTTTTTCCAATTTTGTCACATTAGAACTACAAACACATAACCTTCGACTTTTTTATATTGCACATACAGGGGGATATATAGTCGTGCATCTTTATAATTTATTAGTTTCTTGACAAAAGTAATTCAGTTCTTGAACTCTAATACTCATGAATGGAATCTAGTCCAGCCAATCGCTTTCAAGAGTTACAATATTAATAAACGTGTTGTTTTCTTTTGCCCCGTGAAAATTGTATGAAGGTTTCTGATATGGATTAAAAAAATAAACAGGACCAATAAGACCAAGGACACATTAGAGAGGTCAGGGAGAAAGTTGTGGTTTATGTTATATAATATTGGAAGCTTTGAACATCTTACAAAGCTGTGTTAAATGTAAATGTATGAAACATTTTCAGGACACCCAACATGGCCTTCTTTCTAAACATACAAGCTTGGTGAGACGAGTAGCCATGAGTCCCATGGTTAGAGATCCATAACAGTTTGATTAGTCAAACATTCTTAAACTTACGCCTTAATGAAAAGGTAGCAATAAGAAAGCAACTGTTTAAAGAAATTATCTTGTTTCCCACTAGATAGACTCTGTAAACATGTGGAAATAGGTGCTTTGTTCAGATGGTACCAAAAAAAAAAAATATGTCTACATTCTGCGAAACAATAAAACACGATAGTGGCGGTGTGATGCTATTGAAAGAGAAGGTAGTCAGAGTTGACATAAAGATGGATATAATTACATTCCTTTTTCAATTCAAAATGTAAGAATTAGTGTTGAGTTTGAGGCTTTATAGAGTGGAACAAAAACAATTGTTTTGGCTTAGAAAACAAGCAAATTGAACCAATCGAACCGCCTCTTAGGAATGGGGGTCATTGGGTTCTTTGTTAGCCTGCAATACCAGATACTTGTCTTTGTCTCTGGAAGGGAGTGTCGTTAGAGGGAATTGTTGGCCTGGCTAACAAGGCGAGGTGTTCTGTTTCCCTGTAAGGAGCGGGGGGTTGCGATGATAGCAGGAAGGAATTAACTCTATCTCTGCATTGAAGGTTTTTGAAAGCTAAAATCTGAGTCCCCCCCTTCTGTTTAAGGTTGGTTTTTCTTTCTTAACATAGATGGCTTCCTTCATGCCCCTCTCAAACCACCTATCTTCTTTGCCCTCAAAAGAATGTCCTTTGTCCATAAGGTGTAGATATACCACCAAGTCTTCTCCTGAGGAGGTCGCTCTTCTGTGTTGGGCCATGCATCTGCGGAGGTTGTTTGGTTTCTCCATTATATTTAATTACATATAATGTAATTAAGGAAGAAGACCTGTTAGAGGCTGCGAGATTTCGGGCTTGTTTCTTTGTAGTGGAGTAAAATTCCTAAACATATAGTCAGAGCTACAGAGGAAAGCTTTTTTTTTTTAACATGTCATTTTCCTTTCCAATTAAGCATTTTGCACTACTTTTTGTGGTCTATCATATTAAATCCCAATTAAATGCACTGAGTTTTACTGTTATTTGGCAAAGTTGGAAAAGGTTAAAGGGGCTTAACAGAACAATGGCTGCATTAAAACTCCATTCTGATAGAGACTCTGTGTGTTTTAACATGATACCATGATAATTTGGTGTTAACTGGCTCTATGCGCTTTTATACCACTGCAGAATGATTTCAGATGAAACAGGAGTGTGAAGGAGTGCATTAGTGATTGTTGCTGTCACCGCTTGCTGTCTGCTTTAGCAGATCGAGTTGCTGCTCTGCTGAACGTAGCTCTCTAGCATGTTCCCGGCACGCAAAACTTTATTCTGTTTCATTGTGACTTTTTTCTTTATTACATATGATTTTTGACAAAATAAAAGTGAAAAACTCAACTGTTTGCAAACTTGCCCTCATGAGAAACCCATTATCTGTAGAATTTTACACGCCTCAGCTTACAGAAAACCTAGATGTTTTAATTTTTATTACCGCTACCCTGCAACCAGTGTGTAGTTTATGAACATTTCAATCATTATGCTTAATCTTTACTTTTTTAAGCTTGTATCTACATCAGATTAAATATATGTGAACACTAGAAAGAAATCTGACACTTTGTTTTATCAACCATTGATCTAAGATTTCTTCATGTTTCTTTAAGTCTCTGTTTTGTCTGCTAATGTGAAATGTATCCGTATTCTTGCAGAAAAACAGTCTAAATGAAGTTATTTGCAGGAATCTGCTGTGCACGTCTGCACTGATTGGTCCTGAAGATGTAAATGCGATTAAAATTGGATTTTTATCTATAACACTTTACACCAACTGCCTAAGAATTAGTGTCCTCTGTAAAGTTATTTGTTGCCTCACAAAAATAAGATCCCCCTTCCTCCTTTTCTCCATACTTTGTTTGACCTCACCAGCGACTGGGCAAACTCATCAAGGAAACAAAACAAAGCCATCTGGTTTCTCAGGCCCTGCTTTGCCCCTGCACTGAACAACAAACCAGGGGAAACTACCCTTTCCTGGTCCCAGCCCCAGCCCTGCCCTTTGCTATTCCCTGCTCATCCCTGTCTGATAAACCCCTCGTAGAGCTTTAGTAGACTTTTTTTTTTTGCAACACTTGCTCAGAAATATTTACCAGTAAATTTTACTTTGTCAAGTAAATAATATTTCACCGTCTCTTTTTATATTATAGAATATAGTACTCATATGAGTTGGATATCCAAATGCATACATCTCTGTTGTAGTTTGGCGAGTTACCATGATTTCTGATTGAATGGTAGCTCTTTTTGTTACACTTTAACCCAGACTTCCGGCTGCTATCTGGAGACTGATAATGAATATATATTGTTTGCGAAACTTTTTTTTTTTTAAAGAACATTCCAAAAGTTGGAAATTATGTTTTTCTACATAAAAGTTCTCCAAAGATTTAATGTTTTGTTAAAGTTTTTGCTTTTATTTATGCGTCGGAGACTACTGCTCTTTCTTCCGTTTACAGTTAAGGGTTTACAGTTTTAAATGTTTGTTTTCAAACAGGCATTAAAATGAGCTTCTGCTTCAGAAATGCTTATAATGCTTATAAATTCTTCTTTTTTTCTTCACATTAAATGTTTTAGATCTCCAGAATACTCCCCCATAACCTGAAGAAATCAAAATGTAGATTTCAAAGAATTTAGTTTTATAAGGAAAAGATTTTTCAAATCGTCTCCATTTAAATAATAATGATATTAAATGACCTCTAAAGCTCTTGATTTGGGAGAAATCCTTTGCCTTGCAGAAAACCTTTCCCGTCAAGCTCATACCACAGCATTCGAACTGAACTGCAACATGAAGTTTAACTAGGTCGTCCCAAAATCTGATTTAGTGTATTTAGCCATTTTAATGTCAGCCTTTTGAAGTTCTATAATAATGCTTTATAAATCAATGGGATTCAGCTTACATTCACAAACCGATAGCAGGATATACTCATTTTATTGAATTTTCTGAAAGTAGCAAGTAGTTTAGCAACAAAACACCCCCAGACTAACACATTACCTGCAACATGTGTGATTGCTAATAAAATGTTTTGTTTCTGCAATTCTGTGTTAGTTTTATGCCAGATCTAATGGAACCTTCCAGAAGGTTTGAAGTTACTTCAGTCTAAATAATATTTTACTCAAGAATCCCCAAAAGTTGTTTTGAGGATGATAGATAAATGTGATAAAAAAAAAAAAAAAACACATTCCCCTGCTTCTTGACCAGTAAATTTGGTCTTGGCTGCTTTCACTGCTGAAGACTTTTTCTTGGTTCCTGTGTGAACTTCTGGATGAGTCATTAATTCACTCTTGGAGCCGCTGCCGGGAATATTCCTTGGTTTTATGTCCTTGTTATGTGAACTGTGATTCATTGGAGTCCCAGAGCCTTAGAAGTGTCTTTCTTAAGTTGCCGGGATTGTCTTCCTTTTTAAGACCAGGCCATGGCCTGTTTTGTTTAACTCTTTTCAGCCTACTTCATATCGTTCTTGAAATTAAACTCAGCTTCCCAGAATATTGCTTGATTAAGGGGAATTAATTTGGAAATCTTTCGTTTGGATCACATTCTACCCTAAAAAATTTAATCATTATAAATGCCATTTTGTGTTGATCCAGGCAATCTCTGTGTGTACATAAAAAAAAATCACTTAATTATCTGAAACATATAATGTATCAAATCAGAAACAGAAAGTATTTTTATCTTTGTATATTTTCTATTTTTTGGCTGCGTTAACGGCGATAACGTGTTTAGATATCTGAAATGCTCATTTTGACTAGGAAGAATTGCATTTGAGACATCTGGATTACATATTCAGTCAAGCTAATAAATGTCAAAATTGCCTGCCATACCCTACTACTTGGCAACCAATGGGAAATAAGCTGCAACCACCGGCTCAAATTGGATAAGTGGCTGAATGGCTCAAACTCACATGAATTCAACATGTAGTCAACATGTATTTGACTTGTCAATGCGTACTTGATGTGTAGTCGACGCGATTATTAAGCATTCTCAATGCACTCTCAATGTGTAAACTACATGTGACAGATTGAAAGGCGAAGAAAACACGTTAACAACATGCAAACAAAACGTGTTAAACACGTGTTGTCTACTGTATGTGTCAGAAATCACGTGTCATTGAACCATTTGGCTTTTTATATTTGAGACTATATTGTTAAAGTGGATCATCTACAGTTGGAAGTGGGACACTATTTTTTTTGGAGCAAAACACAGTAACAAAAAAGCAAAAAAAGTATTTATAAATTTGTCAAAATATTAATGAAATAGACGGAATTACGTGTGATTTTACAGTTAAACTTAAATTCTGGAGGTAGCACACACACACATCATGAATGCCTTTGAGAAAAATTTAAAGAGCGACTTTAATCTAGATTAATCTAGATTAATTCCATGATAACAGTGAGATTAATCTGGATTGATAAAATCAATTTATGCCGACCACTAATTTATCCATCCATCCATCCATTTTCTTACACGCTTGTCCCGAGTGGGGTCGCAAGGGGTGCTGGTGCCTATCTCCAGCAGTCAATGGGCGAGAGGCGGGCTACACCCTGGACAGTTCGCCAGTCCATCGCAGGGCAACACAGAGACAAACAACCATTCACACACACACTCACACCTAAGGACAATTTAGAGAAGCCAATCAACCTAACAGTCATGTTTTTGGACTGTGGGAGGAAGCCAGAGTACCCGGAGAGAACCCACGCATGCTCAGGGAGAACATACAAACTCCACGCAGAGAGACACCACTAATTTATTTCACGTTGAATTTTCAAAAAATAAATTTGGCTGCCTAGAATAACAGGGTGGAGGGATTAAAATTGATGCTATTCTTGAAGTGTTTTGTAAAGGAAGCTTTCGTGTTCCCGCTTCAGATAAACCCAGCTATGCCTGCTGTGCTGCTTTACCTTCAGGTTATAACTTAAAGAAATCGGCTGAAGGTGCTAATAATATATTGAGCTTTACCTACAACTTCATATCTACACATGTAAGCCCAGTAGGTGTAGATGCTGTTTCTAATAAGAAAGAAGGGCATCTCAGGTATGTCTCAGTCCTTCAAATAGTCAATTTTCATGTGATCGTCCACATTTGTTCGACTCATCGTTTCAAACATTTGTTTTGTGCTGCTTATAACAAATTAATAAATGCTGAGATTAAGTCATGTATTTATTTGCTTAAAGAACGACTGTAAAAGTCTGAAAATGCTAAATTTGAATAGGTTTCATTTCTCTGCTGATGTATTTTATTGTACAGATAACATCCTGGATGACAAACCAGACTCTAAGAGCCCGGCAGACAAAGAGGAGCAAAGTGTTGACGAATTGCCGAAGAGGATAAAGAAAACGGACATGATTCAGAGCAAAGGAAAGGTTAGGAACCTAAAGTAATAAACCAACTTTATTCCTTTGGAGGAGGAAATATCTATTACCGGTGCTGTTACTTTTTGATATAATTTTTTTCCCTTGTTCTGGTGCAGTGTAAAAACTAAAAACGATAAAGACAGTTTTAGCCAAGAAATTAAGTTTCTATCGCTTATTGGCCTAATTTAGATTCATTTTAGTATCATCCTAGCTGTGTCTGCTGTTTGTGTGGACTTTATCTTATGCATTCTTAAACGTGTATCTGAACCTGCAGGTTTTTGACATGGAGCTGGGTGAGGAGTTTTACCTTCCTCAGAACAAGAAGGAGAGCAGACAGATTGCCCAGGAGCTCTCTGACCTCATCATCTACTGCCAGGCTGTAAAGTTTCCTGGTAGGGTTTTACTTTATACTTTTCCTACACCAGAATGAGATTAAACTTCAGTAACTTTCTATTTTAGTTCCATTCTACATTTTCCTGTTATGGTTTTCCTTCTCCTTTTATATTTAAATTTTCCCACAGAGGGAACAATAAAGGATAATAATTCTGTCTTGATTCTTATTTTTTTTGTAGGTTTTCATGCTTTTGCTTTGGTTTATTATGCTATAGTTTTCTAAAGAATATTACACCATGACAGTTAATTATGCAGCGTTTTTTTTAAAATGCATTGAATATCAACTGGAATCCTGAGCTCTTATCTGCTCATACCCTTCATTTGCTCCTTCATGACTCAAGAGTTCAACTTCAATTACATTTGAACATTGTCAGTTCTTCAGATCACAACGCTTTGCTTTGGTTTAAGCTCTCATGATGGTACTTTTATTATTCCAAGGAATCTGTCTGCATTCCTTGCTGTAGTTTATCTGAAGTATTTCTCTTTGTGCTTAAATATAAAGCGTTATCGGTTCTTTCACGTCTAAAGTATCTCCTTCTCTGTCTCTTTTCTTTTTTCTTTCAGTGAGATATACCCTTATAAACCCACTTGTGTTTCCACGGGTGTTTCATTTGCTTACAATTTGCAGAGAGTAGGATATAAGAAAGGAAACATGATGCCTCATTTCTGTGCTATGCTGTGTGGCCACCTTAGCTCCTAAAAAAAATGAGCAGAAGCATTTAAATCATGAATTAATATGGATTTGCATTTATTAAAAGCAAATATGTTTTATTTAAAATATTCTGCTTTTCCTCACAGTTTAAGAATAAATTAGGTAACTAAAAATTCACTTTGAGAAACTCATATCTGAAAGAGGAAGAATATTCTTATCCTGCAGAGCAGCTTGTCCACTTCTTTATCTGATCCAATCTTGCCATGTGGCACTTTTAACACTCAGAGTCTTGAATCCAATTATACATTTAGTCACTCCTCCTCTTATTTTGAAAGGTTCCTGATCCGCTTTACTCATCTGGACACAGAAAGAATTACAAAATTGACTAGATTGGCTTCTATTAGCAACAGTGAGCTAAAATAACGGATGATTCAACCTGCATGAATAACTGGTTGAAAAAAAACAAGCAGCAGCTCAGTTTCATTTGGTTACTTACAGTAGTCACAGTGTGACTCATGAAAAAGCTACTTCACAACCTCAGAGTCATAAGGATCATCAATGGTTATTAAAAAAAAAAGATCAGCTTTTGGTTTTGTGTGCTTAGCACTGAGATGCTCTATGCTTCACCAAGTACAGTGCAAGGTTAAAATTATTGAACAAAACAGCAAAGCATGGTGAGCAAGAGCTGCCTTCAGTTCAATTGACTCATTCTGCTGTAAAATGGATAAAACTTGTTTATATTATGTTCTAGAAACCTCACGTTTAGTGGGAAATTTCACAGATTTTCAGGAACCTAGATGCCAATGTTGATATCCTGGGGTAAAGCTAATCTTTAGACTGAAAACGGATTTGTAAAAATCATTGTGATGCAGTGATGTATGTACACTCTGAGTTCCTGCATTCTGGAGATCTAGAAATAAGTAAAAATTTCTTAAATTAGGTGTCTATACCCTTAATTTGAGTTGGTAAATGAGATAGTTTGCCAATGCAATTAGTGTTTTTATTCTTAAAATAAGATAATTAGACAACATGCACTTGAAATAAGACAATTCAATTGTGTTTTCTCATTTTAAGTGTAAATTGTCTGTTCCGTTGGCAAAGTGTCTCTTTTACCTCCTCAATCCAAGAACAAATGCATTTATTTTTAAGAAAAAATGATACATCTAGATTTAGATTTTTTTTCCAGTGTGGACACTATTGTATGTTCTTAACCCTCTATTAGGAGCCGATATGAATGGAGAAGGAAGGTTATGTTTTATTGTTTTTTTCTTCTAATAAAAGATGTCCCTCTTGTCTTCACATTTTGGATACAGGTCTATCTACATTATCTCCGTCTGGCTCCGGCAGAGGGAAAGATCGAGGAAAGAGCAGGAAGTCCATATTTGGAACAGCTCCTTCTCGCTGTAGCACAATGGGGGAGGTGACCGCTCAGAGCCGCACGTCAGGAAAAAGTATGCAAAACTGAAAGCTGCTGTTGATCTAACAGGAATTAAAAACTAAGTATTAGATGAAAATATAATTTTTGAATTAAAAACATTTAAGCTTGATTGATCAATTGAAAGCAAATTAACAATATTTTTGCATTTATTATTTATTGATATGCAAATATAGACCTCCAGTCTCCATTTTTTTCTAATTTCACAAGTTTTCTCGGTCATTTCTACAGGTGGCTCAGAACGACTCAGCTGGGAGGAACAACAGACATCCCCCGTCCTCAACCCCCCCACGTCGCTCAGCGCCATCATCCGCACACCCAAGTGCTACCACATCTCGTCTGTCAACGAGAATGCAGCCAAGAGACTGTGTCGGCGCTACTCTCAGAAGCTGATCCAGCACACAGAGTGCCAGCTCCTCAGGACGTATCCAGCTGCTACCAGGATCGACTCCACCAACCCAAACCCGCTTCCATTCTGGTTGCATGGAATTCAGCTGGTGGCGCTCAACTATCAGACAGATGGTGAGAGCATTGTTTACCTGAATGGGTAAATTTTAACCAGAAAGCAAATGACCAAGGCCCAATGCTTGACAAGATGCAGTTTGTATTTATGTTTGTTTACATGATTATAAGTGTTTATGTTTGCAGCCTTTAGGTCCAGATGTTGTTTCATATCTTTCTTTTAAAGCTCTTAGATGCATTGGGTGACCTCTTCGTTCTGTCTCTGTTGTCTTGTGTTTTTTCGGAGTTTGTTTGTCACCAGTTAAAAGGCTCATATAAGTACAAGCCATTTACAATCTTGTTTCCAAACAATGCCGTTAGACTCTTAGGACCTCTGAAGCTCATTTGATCAAATCATTTATTTGAAATAGAAAAAGAATCACAGTAAAGGTCTGTGCATTTTTTTCAGTTTTAGACAATTATAAAGAAAATGGAGCAGTGAGGGAAAAAAATGTCACCTCTATACTCCATTTAAACTGGCAGAAAAAAAAACTATTTAAACCCCAGAAAAATCAAATTTAAGTAGCAGTAGGAACAGCTCACTGACACGGCAAGCGACTCGTTAAAATCGCCTCAGCTCTGACTGGCATGCTGTGGGAACCTCAGACCTGGGTTTACATACTAAATCATGTGATGATTTTGAGAGCAACGTAGGTACGTCACAACATCGCCCCAGTCCCGTGATAAATAATAAGCCCCAACAACCCTGCTTGTATTAGTGAAACATGGCACAGCACTGACAAGAAGATTTGTCGGCAGGTTTCAGGCACCGTTAGAGTACACTCTGGATCCCGTCCATGTTGCTCTCCATTTTTTACTTGACAGATTTCCATAAAACTGTTGACATAAATGCTCACCCAGCGTGAAGCTGTCATCAGACACATAGTGGTGTTGAACAGTGGCCGCTCAGCTCGTCAGCACAGGGTTAGACTTGACTTTTCAGTTAAATGGTCAATCGGTTTAAAAAAAACTGGGGTTTTCAGTGTGAAAGCGGTTCTAATAACTAATTTCACTAGACTTGAAAGCAAATGCTTCCATCAAACATGTCTGCTGAGGAACTTGGGCCTAATTTTTCTTTTCAGAATATTTTTATTTCTACCAGATATAAAGAGGCAGGGTAGCTTATGTTTACATTTCTTATGTTTCTTTCTGAGATCGTTTGGCCTACTTCATGTTGTGCAACCAACGATTATTTTGCAAATCGATTAATCTGTCGATAATTCTTTTTTTTTTTAATAAATCTATTAATAATCGGATAGCAAAATGTTCCTCAAAATATTTTTTACAGAATTAAACCAGGTGAAAATTTTAACTTTTCCACTTGAAAAGTTCTGGATAGATTAAAAATATTTAAAAATATTTATATATATATATATATATATATATATATTTTTTTTTTTTTTTTTTTTTTTTACAATTTTAATAAAATTACTGCTCTAAGTGTTTTTTTTTTCTATGTGTATCCAATATGTTTCTCTGTATTGTCTTACTTTCTTCTAATATTGAAATACGCTTAATTAAGAATATCTAAAAAAAAAAAAAAAAACTCAAATCTTTTAATGGGCAGAAACTTTTTATTTTTCTTCCTTTATATATTTCCTATTTCGTCATGGCAACATTAACTTAATTTAAACATAACCTCTACCTACATGAAGATAAATGTGACATGGAAGCTCACAATCATATTAAATATTTGCTTTAATAATATCTCTCTGTAATGGAGTTTGAAAGAATGTCAGGATTGAACACACTGAGACAATCTCATTCCATCTTAAGAATATTTTCCATACTGACAACATTGTTTCTGTGACCAGTCCCTCACCCTCCCTAAAGTCAGCCGACACTGCCGCCTTTTCCTGGAAACGATGTTTCTAGTTGGTTCCTCCTACTCCTTTGCCTACTTGTATGAAAAGTCCTGCAGGTTCTGTATGTTGAAAGTTCTGGTTTTCCTCCTCAGACCTGCCCATGCAGTTAAACACGGCGCTGTTTGAAGCTAATGGTTGCTGCGGCTATGTTCTGAAGCCCGCTGTGCTCTGGGACCGTAGCTGTCCACTTTATCAGCAGTTCTGTCCGATGGAAAGAGATCTGGAGAAAATGAGCCCGGCAGTGTTTTCCCTCACTGTGAGTTTAAACATCACTCTGCACCATCATTTCTGCATTGATCTTTTCCTTCCTGCTGTTTTATTCTCCATGTTCCAACTCTAAGACAACAGTCTTTAAGATTTATGTTACAGAAGAGTTTTCTTTCAGCATGTTTTTTTTATCTCTTCAAGCATTATGTCTGTTTCTATCTCCTCACATATTTTCCTATACATAGTGAATTCCAGTGCCTGTCGAAAAATACACATACAACTCTTGGCTGTATTGCCTTTTTTGGATTACAGATGATAGTTTTGGCCTCTTTTTAAATTCCTGCTAAAGTTAATAAAGTATTATTTGCTGGAATGTCATAAACACTGATACAACAGAACAAAAGTAAAAGCAGGAATACCTTAAATATCTCAGACCCACCTGTTATGAAGAATCCAATGAAATATGTGCAATAAAAAATGTCTCCTGTTGTGCTTCTCTCAGCTTCTTTCTGGACAGAACGTCTGTCCCGGCAGCAGCTCCGGCAGCCCATGCGTCGAGGTAGACGTCCTGGGAATGTCAGTGGACACCTACCACTTCCGTACCAAACCCATCCATCGCAACACCCTCAACCCCATGTGGAGCGAGCACTTTCAGTTCACCGTGCATTTCGAGGAGCTGTGTTTCCTGCGATTCGCCGTGGTGGAGAACAACAGCTCCCAGATTACTGCACAGAGAACTCTGCCTCTGAAAGCCCTTAAACCAGGTTGGAGTTAAAAACACCATAAAACTAACAACATAAGATGTACAGTTCCCTACATAAGTATTCACACCCCTGGAGCTTGTACATATTTTCTTGTTAAAGCCACAAACTTGATTGTGTTTTGTTTGGTTGTAATGTCTCAGAGAAGCAGGTAATATAATTTAACCGGGAAGTAGGGAAAAGATGATAGTTGGAGTTTATCTGTGTTTATTTAATTTGAATATAAATCTAGCTTTGCTGAAGCCTTACAAGTATGTTAAAATAGTGAATAAGCAGTTTCAATAGGAGGAAAAAAACACACAGACATGTTCAGAGACAGAAGTGTTGAAAGGTTAATGCAGAGTTACGTTATAAATGTAATATACCACGCTTTGAATGTGTCAGAGGTTATTTTTTTTATCTGGTATTTGAAAAATTGGCCTGCAAAGCATGAAAAACCTAGATAGAAAACAACCCAACCTGAAACTGCAAAGAGAAGTTAAGCTAAAGAAGCAGCTAAAAGGCTGATGGTAACTCTGGAGGAGCTGTAGAGGTCCACGGCTCAGTTTAACAAAACTATGACCTCACTTCCTTAACTGGGCTAATGTTGGAGAATAGGAGTAACAATTCCAATTTGAAAATTAAGCAACAAGAGTTTCTCAAACCATCTGTGATGCAGCAAACATATGGAGAATTATGCTTAGTAAGATAAGACCAGAATTAATAGTTTTCTTCTAGATACAAAATGTTACTTGTGATGAAAGTTTTTTGCATGGCAGAATGAACGTGAAGGCACCATCTCTGCTGTGAAACACGCTAAAGTTTGTGGTTATAATGAGACTACATGTCCAAACGTTCAAGATTAATGAGTAATAAATATAAGAACATTTATGGTGGATCCTGTTTTGTCTTTTCCTTTACAGAAATTATACATATAAAAAAGAGCGGGTCCAAATAAAATTGTTGTTTTGTTTTAGGTTACAGACATGTTCAGCTGAGAACGCAGCATAACGAGCCTCTTGAAGTGTCCAGCTTATTTATCTACAGCCACAGAACTGAGGAAGGTCCCACAGGGGGCGCCACTCCCTCATCTTTGGTAAGACTCGCTCAGGTCTTGTGCTGAGATTGCAGAGGTTTCAAACAAGATTTGATCGCTTAAGTGTATTTTGAGAACTTCAAAGAGTTTAAAATGACACTTTCTCATTAAAGTTTAACATGCGATAGTCTGCAGCCTATGAACGTTCAAAAACAACTCCTGCTGCTCCAGTCAGCAACATCAAAAGGGGCTTTGGTTTTACTCTCTCTTGCTGTGCAGAGAATGTCGACCAAAGCAGATATGTCATGTTAGGATCTTTTCTAACCTGCTACCCTGTGCCTGTGTTTCTCCTTGCTCAGCTGTTCAGTTCAGAGGAGAAGCGTGTTTCTGAGCAGCATAGAGTGACGGTTCATGGAGCTCCTGGTCCAGAACCCTTCACAGTCTTCTCTGTCACAGAGCAGACCACCGCCAAACAGCTGCTGGACATGGTTCGTCATGCAGAGATGAAGAATTCAGTTGCAACTAAGGTAAAAGAGTTGTTTCATATTTCCTTCTCTATCTCAAATGTGTTCAGGTTGTGACATCTGAAGGAAACCATTTAGAGTACTTCTTGTGTGAGGAGAAAGTGCCCCTTCTTAAGGAGAGAAGCGAGGTAAAGCGCTGCGCTCAGTACCGGGTCCTTGCACCTGAGGAAGAGGTGGTCAGGCTGGTCAGCAGCTGGGACGCCGAGGAGGGATATGTGGGGAGGATCTGCCTCAAAACAAGAGAGGAGGTACAACATCTGATCAGCCCCCTTCTTTACTGCGCAATATAGACACTGAGGCCCTCTTGTGTTTATTTAATGAAACTGCATCTTAATTAAAAATCTAGTATTTCAGCTAATGGTTATGTAAAATGAACTCGGTCAAGCTGCTTTGTTTTTGTTTTTTTAAGTCTGTTTCTTGTTGATATTATTATTTTAGAACCTAAATGACAAAGACACAGTGCTGGAGAGAGAGGAGGAGGTAACGGTGGGGGGGAAAGAAGGAGCAGGAGGTGGTGGGGGCAGTGGAGGAGAAGATGAGATGTTCTTTGTCCAGGTCCATGAAGTTTCACCAGAACAGCCTCACACCGTGATCAAAGCCCCGCGGTACAGCACAGCGCAGGACATCATCCAGCAGGTGAGCTTCCAAGGAGAATTATTAAACTAAGCCAGGATTCCAGCTTTATGATTATTATATAATGTTTTTGGCTGAATTCTGTTTCTTTTTGTTTGAGCAGACCCTGTCAAAGGCAAAGTATTCCTACAGTATTCTGTGCAATCCCAATCCCTGTGATTATGTGTTGGTGGAGGAGGTTTCCAGGGACACCGGTTCTAAGAAGTCCTCCACCACCAAGCCCCTTCAGCGCGTGCTGCTGGACCACGAGTGCGTTTACCAAGCTCAGAACCGCTGGAGGGGTGCTGGAAAATTCATTCTTAAATTCAAAGAGCAGGTAGCTCTAAACTCCATAACATATTTCCAGAACAATAGACTTTTTTTAGTTTCTTAGCTTAATTTTGTGATGATTTTATTATTCTAAGCTTATTTATAATTTATCAGTATTGGTGTTTTATTGGAGGATGCAATGTGCAGCATTGCATGTGCATCTGTCTATGTGCTTCGTGTTCTAACATAGGATGCAAGAAATGCCTTAACATGCTGTTCAGATTCGCTGTCATGATTGCTGTTGTAAACCTGTCGCTGCTGTTGTATCATCCTGTATCTGCTCTATTTTTCTCTGCTTTTTTTGTCATTCTGTTTATTGAGCATGTTGTCTGCCTTTTTCTATCTCTGTAATTTATTAACTTATCCTTTTTTTTTTGCATTTGACACTTTTTCTGTGAATCTCTGGAAATAAAACCTGCTGAATAAAGCTTGAACTTATCTTTAAATGCTTTCTAATGTGCTTTTTGTCAATGTCTGCAAAGTTAATAATAGCTACAATTGGTTAATATATCAGATAAGCAAAGAAAAAAAGTAAATTCACCTTTGTTTAATTTGGATTCGTTAAAATAAATCAATTTCTTTTTCCAGTTGTTGCGGGAAGACAAAAAGAAAGTGATTTCCTTTGCCAGCGAGCTGAAGAAGCTGACCAGTCGCAGCCGCAGCATGACGACGGGCATGGCAGCGGATGGTCCAACGCAGAGTAAGGAGGAGCGAGCTGCATGCTGTGTGGCTCTGACAGAGCTCCAGGAGTGAGGCTTACACTTTGCCTGCTGCCTGTGCATGGAGAGGCAACAGAGGTACTTTATGTTGTCTGTAACATCTAACATTACAAACAGAGAACTGAGTGATAACAGAAAATAACAGCTAAATGTTTATAGATTTATGATGAGTATGCTTACATGTGTGCCCTCAGTAACTTCTAAACCTACTGGATACAGTGGTAAATAATGGAGATATACATACAGTCCCTAACCCCTAACAATCCTTTCAAAATAAAAGCAATCAGAACGTTTATATTTTTATAACTTAAATTGATAAAAGTTTAAAACTTGTTACATTGAACATGATGGTAAAGGATTAAAATATTCTCCAAAGATCGCTATTAGAGAACTGAAGCAAACATATTTTAATTTCATTACTAAGGCTTTTTAACAATCTTTCAGTGGGTTTGGTATGAAGCAAAGTTTAAATTTGATCTCTGATTAACAAAAGGGGAAACTGCAATAAAATAAATAAATAAAAAACACAAAAAAAAAAAAATTTTTTTCTTTTTAGTTTGCACATTTTTTCAATGCAAAGTTTGGCTCATCGATTTTTTTGTGATTTTATTCTAACAGCATTTATGCACATTTTCTTCCATTTCTTTTTGGCTTTTTTAAGTCGACTGTTTTGTGTAACTCTGTAACTGCAGTAAAAAAAAAAAAAAAACAGGACAAAAAACAACATAAGTTATTAGTCCTTATTTTAAACTTAAGTTAAACTTTGCTTATCACATTTTACATTTAACCCTTTTTAATTGATTAAGTATTTGAAGAGGGATAGTTGTCTTTGACCAGAGTAAATTTAAAGTAAGATTGATTTTTTTTTTACCTACATTGACCAAATATTCCCACTTATAAGCATGTTAAAAAATCTGGAACACTACTGGTCGGTTTCTTTTCCGAAGGCCACACTTTTACCGATTGGACAATTACAATAGAAATCAAATGACCTCTTCCTGAAAAAACAACTAATTTCTTATCACTGAGTATTAGATTATTTTAGAAACATGGTTATATTAACAGAAAATGCTTAATTTGACACAAAATAATTCTTCCTTGGCCACTTTTCTCTCTAGATCAACAGATTTGTGAAGCTGCAGCATCAAATATCATTAACATCTAATGGTGGTTTTCTTACACCAAGGTGCTATTCTCTGCTTCAGTTCTCTTAACAATGAGCTCCAATGATTTGTTGCTTTCTTTACCATCATAACATGATGGCAGGATAGGAATGGATCCCCATCCAGTCTGTTGTCTTATTGCTAAGGGAAAGATGCCTATTTGTGATGTTATATTTAAAAGATTTGTTTGTTTTAAGGCTTTTAACACATATATGTTAGTGCCACTAAGTGCATGGTGTGCAGTTTGACTCCAGGATATTGTCTTTCTGAAAAGAAAAGGTCCCTAACATTTTAAAATCCAACTGTTATGATTTTGTGGTCTGAAAGAAACGCATATGTGGAAAACATCAGATTGTTTTAGCATTTTCTTTCTAGATTCGGACCTTTCCAATAAAACCATTTTTATTCTAACACCTCAAAATTATATATAAAGTTCTCTAATATCCAATCGCAAAAACTTTTCTTAGATCAAGTTGAAAGGAAGAATCCTTTCCTTATGTTAGGGGGAGTGTCGGCCTAGTGGTTAGGGCCTAGAGCTTTTAATCCTGAGGTTCTGAGTATTTTGCTCAGGGCACACTGGGTCCCTGTGCAAAAGCCCCTGATTTCTCCCCGGGCGCCCAACAATGGCAGCCAAATGCTCCCCAAGGGGAAGGGTTAAATGCAGAGGTAAATTTCTCCAATGTAAGATCAAAAAAGTTTAATTATTATGTATGCCATCTGCTCTGTTTATTTTTGGTTATTTATTGGTGCATCCATGTTGGACCTTTTTTTTTTTGTTTCATATCTTTACTTTCTTTTTCTGTTCTAACAAATATGATCCATGCTATGTCTGCTGCAGGGTATCTCTCTGCAGCTGCAGAACTGAAGGCTTGGGTGACTGACAGCAGGGTTGAGACCGGAAGGTTGATCCAGGGCTCCTCTTCCCCCTCCGCCTCCTCCTTTAATGGAGATCTCCAACCTTTCCACCTTCCCAACTGCTCTCTGACCCTCCGAGCCTTGAAGCTTCATCTGCTGCGGAACTGGAAAATCCACAAATAAGATCCGGGAGAGAAGCACTTGCACTGACTACTTGTGAACTTGGAGGTTTCCCCTTTTTCTTCATAGAAGTGTCTGAGTTGTCTTTGATATCTGGCTGGATTCTTAAAAAGAATGTTGACTGGATATAAACCGCGTTTCTTCACTTGAATGATTCAGGAAGCTGGATTCCACCGGATTGTGTTCCTTTTGTTTTTACAGTCATGTTTGTGGCTACTTTAGAGGGCCCAGAGTACCAGGGGCAGCTGTTATTAACCGCAGTCTTCAGGGACATTAAATAGCACTAAACTATTCCTGTCTTTTCTGATGAGCAGGAGGAAAATGAACCCTGAGGGACTTTCAGTGGAGAAAGAAGTATGAGTTTAATCTGCTTAATGAGCTGCTCAATGGATAACGGATTTTTATTTCTTTATTTAAAGCAACAGACTATCCACTGGGTTGTTTTGTTATTAAGATGATCCAACGGTGTCGACTAGTAGCAGATTGAGAAGGATGCTGATTAAAATGAAGGCAGTTTTAAGTATGATGCTATTCTTCCTCTCATGGCTCCAGAGATTATGAAGGAGGCAGGCAAGCAGGCTTGTTTGGTTCTTCTCTTTCTGTTTCAGGCCTGTAGCGCTGTATTAGCACAGTTTGAGACAGAGCAGTAGACTTGTCCACTTTTACGCAGTTATTCACTAATAGAAGTTGTGAGGCGTTTTGTTGAACACTAACATGCCCGCACTAAGGACGTTTGAGGCATCCTGAAACAGTGGATGATAGGTGTGCAATATTGGTTTCTGTTCAGGAGTAACTATGGAAACGTCTCCCAGTTGCCGCTGAAGAATGTTGCATAACTGCCTCTTAATTTTGAAGATGATTTTAAGGACATTCAAAACTGGCATCAAAAATCTAAGAGCTCACGTCTCCTATTAATCATCATTTTGGTGATAAAAATTGATGCATGTTTCAAATTATATAGATTTTAGTTATATAGAAATGAAACTACATTTAGAACCAACATCCACACTAATTTGATCTAAAATTTTACCCCACTATTTAAATTTTTTTATCTGTTGTAGGTCTTATTTTGATCATAATAAAATATTATTTTTCTTTTTAGTTTTACACATTATTTCAATGCAAAGTTCAGCTCATGTGATTTTATTCTAACAGCATTTTGCACATTTTCTTCCATTTCTTTTTGGCTATTTTAAGTGTCAAAATGTCTTTTCTTTCTTATTTTTGACTGTTTTGTGTAACTTTATTGCTAATCCTGTTTTTTTCCTTCATTGTTTAGAATTTACCGTAAGAAAAATGTGAGATTAATTCAAGTTCTTCATATCAAGGTATCATCTGAGCTTAAAATCTGAAATACTAGACCATTATTTGTAAGGAAAAGCAAAATTAGATTCAGTTTGAACCATTTTTTCCCATTTTTTTTACGCATCAGTAGCTTTTCCTTATAAGGAAAAACATTTTTTTTCTTTATTTCTTTGTTGAATTTTTTATGTTAATTGCTAATTATTTTTGGCTCCTCCTTATATTTGATACAAATGGCTCATTTCCAGTAAAATTAGGAAAATAAATATGTTCTGTAATTATCCCCAATCCTATGTTTGCTATAAAAAGAAAAAGTGAATTTCTACTGATCTCTAAATATAATTTAAAATATGGTAGTTCATCTAATGGACTAACCAGGTTTTATTCTCATTATTTTTAGTTCAAATTTATTGGCTAAAAAAAGGTAAATTAAATGTTTTTTGGTAGGCTACATATTGATGATGTAGGGTGATGTACTGTAGGTATGCGAATGCTATAGTCAGTACACCCCACACCAAAAGATTATTTTAAGATTGAAGGTTAAATGTGTTTTAGCCACTATTTAATAATATATTTTCAGTTGGGTCTGTTTTTCTAGTGAGAAGAGCATCCATGTGTTAAAAAATGCATAAAGCAACCTCAAATGGCCATGAAATAAACATACATGGTCTGAATAAACTCATCAAATAAACACTGATGTTTATGTAACAAAGCATTCATTATTTAATCCATGAGTTGCTCTGACTAAACTCCTGCTTGCACAAATGGAAGTCATGTACGACTTTAACTCACATTCCAACATTTTACTGACTGACATTTTGTACTAATTTATTTAGAGTTTAAACTCTGACATTTTATCCTTTTGTTTTTACTTTAAGTGTAGCTCCAAGTAACTAGTTTGGATTTTAGTGCAATATTGAAGCCACACGCATTCACTCTATTAATTTCTACCTTATTTCTTTGATACATTCAGCTCTTAGGCTTGAACTGTTGTTTGTAATTGGTCAGAATTGATTTCATTCAAATGCACTGATTATCATTTGACAGTGGGGAGGCAGAAGTGAGGTCTGTTCCCAGAGGCTTATGGTGATTAAGGTAGATAGAACACTGATCCCAGAAACCTCAACTTCATGTCAGTGATAATGAAGCCTTAATCCCTTTATCCTGGCAGACTGCTGTTATTATTATGGATTACAATTTAAACACAGAGAAAAGCCATTATGTCAAGCAAAAGATAATACTTCATCAAACGACCATTACCTTCAGCTTCCCTTGCCTGGATGAAAGTGTTATCAGTGCACAGTGCAGGTAGGAAGTGTTTAGTGTAGAATCTGTGAGCTATCTGTTTTTTTCACACTCACATCCTGCTTTCCTTCTTCTTTACCTGTAGACCTGATATCTGAATGTAAAGTTTCTGGGTTTGTTTTTTACTTTTAAAAACCTGAGAGAACTGTGTGTTATTTATTTTAATGTGAAGCCCTGGTTGGCAGTAATGTTTCTGTATAAGTTCCTGTAAGTAGTTTTTTTATTTATTTCAGTAAGTAAAACGGGTGCATTCTACCCCCTTAACTTGTCACACGATTATTTAGACCTGTATATATTTTTATTTGAGTAAATAATTCAGCGTAGTGATCATTCTTGTGGTATGTTATCCTGTAGTTAGGCAGAGGGGTTCATTATTGTTATAGTTTCCATTAATATGGGGGGGGGGAGTGTATTCACATTTAATGTACTCTATATCTACTGAACATTACATGTGTTTGTTTATTGTTGGCTGTGACGCATCCTTAGCAATATTACCATAAAACATTCAGTATATCATTTAGCACCACTATCTGTGTTAAAACCTGTCATAAGCACATGTCTATTTACTTGAATCCCTAAATGATTGTTAATGATGGATTTGTCACAGAAAAATCTGAATAAAGTGTAAATATTTCATGAAGCTGCATATTAGCATGTGTTTATGTTAGTTCTGCAACTATATATATATATATATATATATATATATATATATATATATATATATATATATATATATATATATATATATATATATATACACACATTTTTTTTTTTTACATTATTACATTAAACCACAATAGGACTTTGTGAAATATACTTACCAGTCGCTCTGTCTTCTCCTGGCCCACATGTGCTCATGTGTCACTATCCCATAGCCATAGGCTCTGCCTACAGCAGGTTGGGATTCTGATATCGGTTAAAAAAAAAAACTTTACCTTCAGAAAAACATGTTTGTCTTTGAAAGCAAGCACTTAGATGAGCATATTTGAGAATAAACTCTGCAGAACTATTTTGAGTCACTGATTTGCCCTTTTTTAAAATCTGTTTTAACCGATGATGTTCTAAAATAATTCAATTTTTGGTGCTTTTTGTGCATATATGTCCTTTAAATGATGTTATTTTGAGGAAAATGTTCTATTTTTTAAAGTTAACATGATTGTTTAGCCTTAGTTTGAGTGAAACAGTATGTTACTAATATCCCAGCTGGTAGCTTAATGAGCCGAGCTTAGTCTGCCATCTTCTTCACTATTGTACAGTGGACGTACCCATCAGTGACAAAGTCAGATAATTTGGTTGAATCCATAATAGTTGCTCAGATGAGCCAAGCCTTCCAGGGAGTGTTTAAAATATTATTCTGTGGCCCAGTGGGCAATTTCCTTTTAATAAGGAGCACTCTGTGTCAAATATCAGTGCAAGTACAGCTCAGTCTTTTAAGTTCCTTGATGCAAAATTATGCAGTCATTAAATTAAATGAGCAGTTTAAAAACCTGGTAATTTTGCAGGTTAATGATCCTTCCTCTTTAAGACTTCCGATGAAACAAGTCACTATTATGTGTTTCACAGTTAAAAAGTTCAGCCACCTTTATCATAAGAAACTTTTACAAGGGGAGACGTGCTCGGCTAACTGGATCCCACTGGACATTAAAGGGAAACTCCTTCCAGTATTTGTTCAAGTCTAACTAAAAATAGTCAACTGTTTTTATATATATATATATATATATATATATATATATATATATATATATATATATATATATATATATATATATATAGATATATATATATATATATAGATATATATATATATATAGATATATATATAGATATATATAGATATATATAGATATATATATATATATAGATATATATATAGATATATATATATAGATATATAGATATAGATATATATATATAGATATATAGATATATATATAGATATAATTAGTTGATATCAAAGCTACAGTATAGTTTATTAAATTCTTGTTTGCTTTTTTTTGGCATTGAAGGTTTAGTAGATTAACTGCAAGCCTCTGCGTAATGTTTTACGGTTAGGATCTCATTGATCTTATTTATTACAATCCAGTTTTTATGGTTTTTGATCAATTCATATCCATCCATCCACATGGAAGTTTAACATCAATCTTTCTATATCTTTAAAGCAGTTTAGCTGTAAGCAACCATTAGTGATTTTATTTCTAAACTGTTTAAAAGGAATGCTTTTTTCCAGACAAAGTGCAGCAGGAGAGTTTGTATTACATCATATAAATATCTCGTCTTCCCAGCTCTAAAGAAAACACACTCAGGTAGCAGCAGCCACAAATTCATTTTTCAACAGATCAAAACTTTATTTGGAATAAGTTTGCCAAGCAGCTTGACAAGAATAAAAAGGCAAGTGTGAACAATACAAGACTGCATGTGTCAATGAAATGCATCAGGCTAATTAAAGATGAGTTGCACCGTTGGCCGTAAACCTGAATGAAAGGAGCATAGTTCCTTACAGACACCAGCCTCTTAAAGGGCCAATAAGAAGAATCAAGTTTTTGTCCCCTCACTGTTAAATGCTCGCTGTTGTTGGATATTAGCACTGTAGGTCCGCTTTCTGAGGGCGCTGCAGTTCTGAGAGGCTGAAATGAGTGGATGCAGAGGTTGAAACAGACATTGCAGAAAATGCCCCATTAAATTTCACAGTACTTGCTGTTTTTTTTCCAGCAGCTCCCACTGAACTCAAGATACAATACAAATAAATGATGTAATACCAGTGCCAGAGTATGGAAAGTCAATTGTTGCCAGTATAAATCAACTAATATATATATTTGCAGCACTGGGGCTTCCCCACTAGCTTCACAGAGTTTTAAAAGAAATAATGTTGAAAACATTGAATGGTCTTGGCAATAATGAACGAGCACAGTGGCGTCGGACTCAGAGTTTGGTCATGGGTATGTGAAGGCTGTTCCAGGGGCCCATCCACAACTCTTCCTCATCAGATTGTGTTCTGTCACTCGGGCAATCCAGAGGTTCTCTCACAGCAGACTCCACGTTGCTGTTTCCATCCACCTTTGATTCCAGCTCGCCCCCTGTTGGCCTGTGTCTGTCTGCTGCGTTCTCCTCCTGTTCTGTGATGCCTAGTGCAGCTGGGAGCACGTCAGGTTTAGACACCATGCTTTCAGGGCCTGTGTTGTTGGTGCTGGTTGACCCTAAAGATACGCTGGATTGTCGCGTGTTTAACACATTCAGCATGTTGTCAGTGTTAGAGAGAGAGGAGGGGGCCGTTGCTGAGGCAGCCCTTCTGCAGCTCTGGAAAGTGCTCAGTGTGTGGCGTCCATTTCCTGCTGGGGCCCTGGTGGTGTTCAGGGGGACCCTCTCCTCCAAAGTAGCAGCCATTTTATCCAGTTTTTTAAAGTGCTTAGCTAGCCGTGAGCTGAAGATGGGAGAGTTTGGTTTTAGGTTGTTCTTTGTGGAGCTGGTGCTCTGTGAAGGACCTGATGCGTTGGCAGATCGTCTGGTGCGTACGATGGAGCCGTTCTGGGCCACATAGATTCCTCCATTAAGGTTGATGTGGCTGTTGTGTGTGGAGGATAAACGGCTACGTTGGGTCTCTGGGATGCTCTCCTCACCGGTGGAGCTGGTCTCGTACTCTCGGTCAACCACCAACTTGATCCGTCGCTTTTTACCGCCAGGCTACGGGAAAACACAGAGAACTATTAAAATAGAGTTGAAACAACAGAGAGAGAGGGAGAAAAAATATATATTTTTTTGTTTGTTTTTTGTTGTTAATTAAAAAAATTTTTTTTTACTATATATATATATATATATATATAT